GAGATACACTGAGTTTTCTACAAAAGCAGCAGGGTTTTGCAGAGAAAAGGAGGCCTGACCTCTTTTTCTAAATGAATGAAAATGACCTACGCTGTGGGCCTGCACAAATCTAAATTGAGTCATCAAGGGTATCCTGTGCAACAGTGTTCTGTTCGAACTGATTCGAGGCAGGACAGGGGATTGCTGTGCCCATCGGGCCTACTGGGGAAAATGTTACAATGGCAGACGTCTCCAGCAGCCAGCCTGCTCCCAGTCTCGGCAACAGACAAGTGAAGCAATACAAATGCAATTAGGTGCAGGAGGCCCAGACACACACACACACACACAGACCATATAAGACAACACGCACAGCATACACAAGCTATGGCTGCCACATAGAATATCTTTCAGGAAAGACACAACATCCAACTCACGTTGCTGCCTGTGTCACAGCTGGATGAAGACCAAGGAAAAAGCTGTGTCAGTCACACATAAATACACAACCTGTGGTCTCTTTCTGTCTGAGGCTGTCACACTCTTAGCCTCGATCAACACTGATGATGAGAGTTCAGTCTCAGACAATGTGTGCAACTGTCAAGACACTAAGCTTTGGTTGTCATTAAAATGTTTCACAGAAATATAACCTATTGCAAAGGTTGGAACCACTGGAACTTCACTATCCCTATGACACCATAAAATATTATAACAAACCTTGCAATCAAAAAAGCTCTATGGTGTAGCAGAGCATTTTCTCGTTAAACCAGCATAACTTTTGATTAAAGTTAAATGTATCAAACTGCATTTAATTTAGTCACTTGGGTGTTAAACAGGAGTGTTTTGGTTTCAGCATCTGGATTCAACACTTGATCCTCAAGTGTCAGATAAAAAAGAACTACATTGTGCTCTGAGAGGTTCATTCCTACGTTTAGAAATCAAACAGCAGCTATTGTCATTTCATTCCATTTCAAGCCAATACACCTTAAAAGTGAGAGTGGAAAACTGACTGTAGCCAGTTTTGATGGGAATGTCTCCAGTCTTGAATGCTCAGTCTTGAATGCTTATGTCACATTCTTTCATTTAAGTCTTACGTTGATTTAAAAAATGTGTTCATTAGAACAACATTATGGGTGAAAGAGGACTATGTGGAGGTGTCTGCTTGACTGACAGGTGTCTCTGCCTATCACAGTGTTTGCCACTTCCCAATCCCACCTCAGCAGCATCAAGGTTTCCTTATTGTGGTTCAAATTAGCATCGTCTGGCTCCAGTAACTTACAAAGACGACAACAGGTTGAAGGCATCGAAACATCCTTTTGGAATGATATAAAAAAAACAGACAAACAGACAGGCTCTGGCCTTACAAACTTCATAAATCATGGTTAAATGGTTTCTGCATTCAACTTATTACAACTGGTCTGAGGTTTAAGCCTTTACACCACAGCATGAAAGGGAAAACTGGTGTAAGAATGTATTACAACTTTATGGCACAAGGCTTACGACTTAATTTCTCTGTGATTTGGAGGTACATTTTATATTGCCACACATTTGTGAAAGGGTTTGCTTCCTGGGAGACACATTTCCCTCAAAGTATCTACTGGTTTCCAACATCAAGGCTAGTGTACAGACTTGCAAGAGACCACAGTGCAGTGACTCAGGAAGGTCCACCCTCCCCTATTTTGATGTATGAGAGGAGTCCCTCCGCCTGCCTCCATGGCCTCTAGCTGACCTCCCTCTGCCTGCAGACACAACACTTAACATTGCTTCCCCACCTGTAGTGATGTCTGAAGGACAGGGCCCACTTCAAAGCCATGCAGTGATTGGGCTGTGATTACCATGGGCACTTGACTCATTTCATGTCCTATGAAGGACTAAACTTTGGGGGAATCAGTCATAGAGACACGGAATTCTTTTGAAAGAAAATAGGGGATTTAAGCCCCCTTTGCAGGTGCATTTAAGGGTCCACAAGAGGATTTATTCTGGTCGTTCTTTTAGATTCCTGCCTGATGATACCAGTGGAAAAGCACAACATCACTGCTGGGTCCTTTCGTTCAAAATGTGTATACATGTGCTAATTTTAAAATGTAACTGTTGATTTTCTTTGTTTGTTTGTTGCTGTTGTTTCTTACAATGATAGCTTGAAGTTAGAATGATCGTAACTTTTTCTGCTTAGGTTTTCGAAGTATGCAGCGGGCAACTGGCACAGATGTTTGTGAAGGAATTTCATTTTGTATCAGTCGAGAAGTAGTTTGATAATGCAGCACTGCCACAGTGACATGAAAGCCCAACTGGGTTCAACAACAACCGTCATGTCTGCTCTGCTTTTCTGTAGCTAAATGCCAGTGACAGGAACAGAATTCACTGTGGTAACTGATCAGGTGCCAAGCGCCCTCTCCCCAGTGCCCTGCTGCACTGAAGCCCTCTGTGGAGCTGGCATGGCCTGGCTTGGCCTGGCAGCCACGGGCCCTGCTTTGTATCTCTGCCCCGTCTACTCAAGCTGTCTCCAAATCAGACTCGACTACTGTCAGCTGCCCGTCTTCGCAAGCCCAAGTAACGCATTAAGACAGGGGTAATAGGTGGCTGAATGAGTTGTAAAGAGAAGAAAGCAAACAAGTTGATTTGATGTAAATCATCATCTTCCAAATGATCAGAAGGAAACAGTGGCAGAGTAATTTAAACAGTGTTGTAACAAGCTCAAAAAGAATCTGACATTAATGATAGATTAAAGGTTTTATTATGGGGACATGAATATGGTTTTAAAAATACCACAGCAATGAATTAGTGGCGTCACGATACAGGCAGGCATAGTTGGTAGATATTGTGAACCAGGCCAACAATAAAATAAACTATATGGGTTACAGAATTAAACCAGGTTGTGGCATTTGCAGTAATTGTATGGCTTCCTATATTTTAGGATGAACAGACTGCTGTGATTCACTAAACATATAGCTGTTATGTATTTCATCACTATCTACATGTTAAGCCATCTGTCCCAAAATACATTGTGATGATTAATATTCCATGTCTGGAAAAGGAACCATAGCCTTCAAGGCTTTATAGCCTCAATAAGCTAATAAGCTGTTTATTTGTGCTATCACAAAATATACTCAGCTGTCTCAGATAGCCTATATAACGTTAACATTGCTACTACTGTATGATCCTACATCACAAAGGTCTGTGACTATGCATACAGATTCAAGACCACATCCATGTTTACAGCATGTAACTCTTGAGACTAACGGCTAACGTCTCATCCCAAACCGTTGAGGAGATTTGTGGCCTCGATGCATTTGCCTTCGACCTAAAATAATTTTTTAAAAAAGGTATTCACACGGAACCTGAAGTTGAATGCATCGAGGCACGTACTCGCATAAAGGCAGGTGCACCTGTCTGCAGCGGTAGCCTATTGTTTCCTCTATCTAATGAGCCATGAATCGGCCTGTCGCGATGTGTGTGTGAAAAATGAAAACATGTCTGTCTCTTACCGTTCTGTTTTCAGTCATTACTCCCCATCCTAAGGTTTCCAGTCCAGACCTCTGACGAACCGTTAATTCCTATCAGGCTGTCTCACTCTCTCCCTCTCTCTTTCGCTCATCCCCATGTCATATTTCTCTGCTGCAGCAGAACAAGGCCACGCCCCCTCTGACAGCCGCTGCCGCGTGACGTCAGCCGCTGAGGAGGGTTGTGCTCCTCACGCCCTCGCATGCACATCCAGGAAGCAGCCGCGAGAGGCCGCTATTCCTTCACAAAAACAAAACGTCTGAGGCACAAATGGCGTCCGGTGTCTTAGGACATGATAATATAAATGACACTATTAATAAACTGTAAAGAAAGTAAATGCTCGCGTTTAGTGTATCACGGAGTTTATAAACCACAATGAATGGTAAGACTGTCACATTTAAAGCTAGGGTAGGCAATTTTTTAATTAAAAATATGTTATTATTTTATTATTTAAATACGTTATATTTGTTTATATTCTGTTTACATCCTGTCAACAATCAATAAATGAAATGCTTCCACACAACAATGAAAAAAGTCTGTCTGTGTCTGTCAATCAGGCCTACCTTCCTGCACTCATTGCAACTGAAACTGTGTTTTGGAGGAGGCTTTGCAAGGAGAGCTGCAGGGAAGGAGTGGGACTGTTTTTTTTTTTGGGCTTTGCATGCTTTGCATGCTTTAGCTGTGTCTTCTTGAGTTTCTCCCACATTGTTGACCTTAGCCATAGCTAGTTAGCAATTGAACATTGTGCAACAAGCAATTAATCCTCAAAAAGGAGCCTATAAAACAAGCAAAATTAGCTTTTAATTTGTGCTTTCCCAAGCCATAAAAAAACCTAAATTTATCTGTAAACCACTAATTTATTTTATATGCCTTTTAGCTGAACTAGCTGTAACTTTAACTAACCTAGCATTAGCTAAATCTCCAATGTTACTGTTGAATGAATCCTGGAACCTGTGGATTTAAAGTACAAATCATTGGCCAGACAGTGGACACTCATTTTCCTCACCTCCTAAATATTCAACAAACAAAGTTTAATATGCAACATTAAAGCCATATAGATTTTTAAGTAACAATAGCTAATTGGGTGTGTCTTTATCAGGTATTTTGGTTTACCTACATTACATTTATAGCTGGGTCTTTTATCCAAAGTGCATTTCAACCATACAATCCAATCCAAAAGAAGTTGCACCAAAAGTAATTTACAAAGCGTAACACTCATTTCCATTAACATGTTTTGTGGTGGGTGCATGGTGTGATGGTTTATTTAGCTTATCCAATGAAAATTATCTATCTATCTATCTATCTTCACACACTATCTATCGTCACAAAGACTGGGCTCTTCTCTCGGGAACATTTAGGCTACTAAATGCGCACCACAGTCCACGCTCATTGTCCAGCGCTTCATTTGAACGAACTGGTCCAGCAAGTTATTTCTGGGCTGGTGTCACAGAGCCCCATCGATCTGCCAGCGTACCTGCTGCACGGACACTGCGTCTTAGGAAGCAGTCCGAGGTGTTGGCTTTTTTTTTGTCACTTCCAGTGAAAGTACTCGGACGCGGCCATGAGGTCCTTCGCCGCGTTTCTGACCTTTCTCTGCTGTGTCGGATTTACTGGATGTAAACCTTCGTTGCCCTGTCCGAGTGGACAGTTTCTGCTGAAGAATCAGTGTGTCCTCTGTCATCCCACCTGCTCTGAGTGCGACGGGCATGAGCTGTTTGAATGCACTACCTGTGGAGTTGGTGAGTATATTTCCCTATACACTTACTTTTAACAGCATAAAATCACTGAGGGCTTTCTGAAAGTAAAACGGCGAAAATATGTATTATGGGGGTTTAAAAAGTCATGTTTTGTAGGCTGTAGTTTTAACAAATAAATCATCAAACAATGACTTCATCGAAGTTAAACAATGTCCTTGCCTTCATATGACAAATTTTACCTACATTTTTCATAAATTCTGTATGAGATGTGCAAATATGAACATCTTCCATTGGCCAATATAATTCCTCTTTTCTGATTTTTTCCCCAGCTCCACAGATACCTGATTAAAACAAAGCCATGTCACAGACTCATTAATCCAGTTTTCTTTTCAAGGCAGCACTGTTTAATGGTTACTAAAGCAAAGCTGTTTAAAGGCCTTTGAATTAGAGGAGGAGCATGCAGCTCTGGTTTACCATTTACTCTTGTTAAACTATCACAAAGTGGCTGTTGAACTTGCATTCTCTGTCACAGGGGCGCCTTTTGAAATAGGTAAGAAATGAAGGTGTGATCACGAGTTTTCACTGTAATCTGATCATGTCAGAATGGGACCTTTGTTAATCCGAGGCAAAGGAAAAAAGTACCCCCTTGGGCAAGAAGTATTACTGTTTCAGTTCATTGGCTAAACCTACAAGTCTTTCTCTCTTTTACTCAATGAATATATTCATTTTGACATTTCTACAATTATGCATTTGCTTTTTACTGACTGTATTTTAATATTCAATGCTGCAGATATGTTTTGTTGTGCAGACTTTAGTAGTATACAGTAGTTAGCATTTGATCCTGGTGTGTATATCTGTGTGGCATCTGTGTATTCCTTTGTGGAAGAACATCAAAAGCCAAAAGTCTGTACCCCATTCCTCAAACACTGCGGTTTGTTATCACATAGAAGCCACATTGCTCTGTGCATGCTGAGGTTCAGGGAAGTCGAAGGGTTAGAAAGGCAGCAGCAGCAGCTTGTGGCCCCTCTTCTCCCTGTCTCACACATCTTCTTTTTAGCGCTGAGCAGAAGAGACAATGCTGTAACTCAGAGATGCCTCAGGTGCCACAGCTAGGCTAGTGGCAGGTGGCAGAGTATTAATCATTAGGGCCAACAGAAGACTCCGTCTCTGCCCACAGCTTTGATCTCTCATCTGCCTCAGATTGCCATTGTTTACATTATATTGGCGCATCATCAGGAAGTGATCTCACACTGTGATCTGTTATTTGCAGGCCTACAGTCAGACAACAGACAAAATGCTGGGCTGGAGCCATTAGTTCTTCGGTTTCCTAATAATTGCCAGTGATTCACTCGTTAAGCCAGATGACATCTCTCTCCTTTCAGTCAAACAATCTTGATTTCGCTATATGTGTTAATGCTGTCATTTGCTGAAGGCAACTTTCACACTTATTTATAGAAATACAAGCTGATGGTCGACCTGCTGGGCATTGCTGCCTGACGCACCTCCACCGGTGCCTTTTGTGCAGGTGTGCTCCTCCTCTTTGGGCATAAAATGGGTCATCAGCTGGAGACCACCAGTCATGGATGTTTCGCTCCTTTAACCCCAGTACATTTCCTGGTGGCGGAGCGATGGCAGGGGTCATTCCTGCTACCACCCACACAGTTGGCAGCCCGTCCTTTCATCTTTCCTTCATTCCATGTAATTGTTGGGGCCCATTTGGCTCTGCCTCTATGTTTATTATGAGAAGCTCATTGATTTTCACTTTCAGAAGAGTCCAGATTTTGGGAAAAGGCGTTTCCTGGTAGAGGAGAAAAATAGATTAGGCTTTATGTTAACAAGTCCTCTGTGTCTTCCTCCTCCTTCTCCTCAGATGAAGATGGACAGGAACGGTTCCTCCACCAAGGTCGCTGTAGGACACACTGCGCCCGGGGACTGTATCCTGACAGAGGTCATTATGCCTGTCTGCCCTGCATAGCCAATTGTGAACTCTGCACAGACGGCAACATATGTGCCAAATGTCAGGAACACTACAAACTCCAGAATGGGATCTGCCAAACGGCATCCTGTGACATAGGTAAATGTAAATCAGAGCTTCAGAGTTTCCTGTAGATTAAGAGTATGACATTCAGGCTTGTTATGCTGGGTCTCTGTGTTTCAGGCCAGGTGCAGGACCCTGATACAGGAGAGTGCATTGACTGTGAGATGGGCTGCAAAACATGTTCCGTGGGTAAGTTACACAGGCTTGCCAGGCTAGGCTGACAACACCATACTGTTCCCCCCCCCAATGTAAGGTGGGTCTGCGATGTACATATCTAAACACTGGTGATAACAGTGCACAGAGCAGCACAATATAAAGATAGCCAGTAGCCTACTGCATGAGTTTGCTCCTCCACATGAATTCTAATTAATCACCTTTTCTCGTTTCTCATTTCTCAAGACCTGATATCTGCAACAGCTGCGCTGAAGGTTACTTTCTGTGAGTTTTTTTTGTCGTTTTATTATTATCCAGTGATAAGTGGACTTTTCTGGCTCCCCATATCCTCTGCTGTTGGATCAAATGCGTTCTGAGAGGTTATTTTAGAGAGCTAACATTTAATACAACTAGCAGTTATTTTCGATTCAATATAACAGTTCTCGTTTAAAGCTGCAGTAAGCAACACCGTGACGAAAATCATGATATAGAGCGTTACAGCGACACAGCAAGTACAGCACTTAACGATAGCCAAGTTGCAGGTTAGCGTACTGTTACTACAGTTGCTGCTGTGAACCTAACATGACGCTAACATGCAGAGAGGACAAGGCGGACCCAGAGCCAGCATCCCAGATCCAAAAAGCTATGCTCACAACTCTCCTGCTACTATAGTTAAATTCACAACAACAGCATGTCTTGGCAAACTAGAAAGTAGGCTGAGTGTCTGTGGGTAAGTCATTTAACATTACGCGACACACACATCATGGCTGGAACGGCTGGAATAGTGTTATGTGCTCGGTCCGAGCCACTTTGTTTGTTTCCCCAATAGACCCTTTGCTAAGCCCCGCCCCTCTTAGTTACTGTTGCTAAGTCCGACAAACTGTCAGCGCTGCCTCTGTCTGTTACTGCACTCCCCAGAGAAATATTGTCAGATTGGTTGGAAAAAGTGATCTCAGAATGAAGCAGACACATTTGAAGGTTGGATTCAGGCTGTCAGACTGACACAAACTGATTCAAACCGACATTAAAAAAATGAAAGATAGAAGCTAAAGCTTACCGATTACACAGTACAAGTGAACCACCGCATGCTCTGACAATTGAAACAAAATACAACGATATCAAGGATCAACACTGTTCCTGTAAAGCTGGGTAGGCCTCTATTCACGAATCATTCAAAAACAGAACAGTAGGGCTTTATTACATTACATTTAGAAGGAAGTTAGCTAGCGTTAGCTAACATTACATTAGGAACAATTGACAGAGTATGACAACAAACAACATTTTTCTGGATTTATTTTAGGTTTTGGAAAGAGAATAAATTGTACTTCTTCTTTCGAAGCCCCAAGTGTTTTTATTTGCATTGCCATTGCCTTGCTAGATAAAAAAGTTGGTCAATCAAAATGTAGTGTAATATGCATTTCCATATATTGGCTTGAAGAACATGGTTAATAATTCTTCACGCCACAAGAAAATTCATTTCACCTGTATTTCTGTTTACACCAGCATATCACTTGGAGGTTACATTCAAAGCTAGAACACCCCCCCTGCGGTTTGTTATCACATAGAAGCCACATTGCTCTGTGCATGCTGAGGTTCAGGGAAGTCGAAGGGTTAGAAAGGCAGCAGCAGCAGCTTGTGGCCCCTCTTCTCCCTGTCTCACACATCTTCTTTTTAGCGCTGAGCAGAAGAGACAATGCTGTAACTCAGAGATGCCTCAGAGAACGCCCCCCCCCCCCAAGTTTAGGCCTCCAAATATTGTGTGAGTCGGGTTACCCTCCATTCAGAGTCTTACACTGTTACCTGAGCCCTGGTTTGAGCATAGAAGAGTGGTCTGCTTCACAGAGATTTAACAGAGTGTGTGTAATGTGTGAGTAGGAGAGGAGAAGCGAGAAAAAGACGGCAAGTATAAGTGGAAAGCATAGCCAGTAGCAGGTGGGATTATATAGGGTGCACCATCTTGACTTCACTGACTGCTCCTGTGTTACAGCAGGACGGTTGAAGGAAAATGCACTTGCTTCACTGCACTCACCTCCTTTTTACTGCTCTTACAGAGGTGCAGTGAGATACTTCTTCCATGAATCTTCTTGTGTAACTTTTACTTTAATAGTAATGGCTTTAGAGATTTAGAATGACAGGTCTCTTCAGTCCTGTCTGTGGCCGCAGTACCTTATTATCTACTATAGGAGGAAAACACCAATAAAAGAAACCCAATAGAGCACGGGGCAATCATGACCTGCAGGAAGAGTCTCACTGTGATATAGTGTGACAGTTTCCAGCACTTCAAAAAATTCCACTACTGAGGTTTGGCTAGAAGTAATAAAAAATGTTAAACCCTAGACAGCTTTAGCGTAGCTGTGAGTCTGTGGGGCCAGTGTTGTTCTTGCATAAAACGCTGCCTACTGAAAAGAGTCACAGCATGATGGATGCTTGGTATTTATTGACATTTACCTTCCTCTCTAAGTGCAGCTAAACCACAAAATTGTTATGATTCACTCTTGATGTGGTTTAAACCATTTATTTAGTCATATTTTCACCTTTTCCTAACTAATTCAAAGAGCAGAAGCCCTAAGCCCTAGGGATTCTTAAACATCGCGTAGATTCTTAAGTAGTGCACTGTTTCCAGGCCAGAAACGGAGACCTGGTCCGCACTAGCTGCTATTGTGAGTGAGTTGATGGATGCGTTGTGGCGCCTCCAGCTGTTCCTTCTCAAACAACCACTGCATCTTAGCACCAAATCCATGACAACACAGTCAGAAGTGCAGCTTGGGCTGTCAGTGGTCAGATTCTCTCATGAATGGAGGTGGTATAAGAGGCATCAGAGGATGTTGTACTGTCTAGGGGAGTGGCTTATTTCTACTTTTTTTCTTGTTTAATTTAGAGTAGTTGGTTTAATGTTGTATGTGTGACATCTTTGCAACTCAATATGTCAACTGCTTTTAGGCTATTTTTTTTAGGACAGCCGTCTCATGTTTAATAGCACAGTTAAGCCCCGAAGGACTGATAGGACAGGTTGATGACAGAAATCGCCCCATGCCTCCAGGCTACAAATAAAACACCAATTAACTGTCTACCTTAAGAAGAGAGAGCCACAATAAGCTTGAAGCAGCCTACATTATGTTTTCATCTCGTCCTAACTTTTGGCTTGTAGAGGAGTTAACAATACAGCTGCAGGTGTGCTGTGTATGTTGGGATTGCCTCTCGCATGTGGTGTGTTTTGTCATTTCTCTAATTTCAGTTCGTCTAGCCTCAGACTCCTCTGTGTGGGCAAAGGTTATTCACTGTAAAGCTTTGAAAGTGCTATTAAATCCCAAACGTTTTCATTAGGTCTTTCATATTTCAATAGCTTTGTTCTAGTTGTTTGCGTTGGAAAAAAAGAGCTTACTTTTGTGTAACAGCTGCAGCAGCCAGTGTTAATCGACCACGTATTGACCGATTTTCAAATACACAGACCAAGCTTAATTGATTTTAGTTTTGAATAGACCATTTCTTTTACAGTTTCAGACACCAGTGTCGCAGGCATTGCCCCCAGAGCACCTATGAAGACTTGGGCAGGGGTGTGTGTCTCTCCTGTCCAGCACCATGCACAGATTGCAGGAGTAACACACTCTGCCTTGCCTGCCAGCTCGGTTACTTCCTCAATGGTACCAGTAGGAAAGAATGATCATTTCTGTGTATATTTATTCTCTTCTACTAGCATACTAAATGATTCAGATGACCCTTTTGTCCCATGCAGTACTAGCAGAGTTTGCGTTTTAATATACTCTTAGATTTTTCTTTACCAAGAATGATTGATTTCTCTGACTCTTCATTTAGATTGCAAATCGCGTCCTTGTCAGCAAACCTGTAACATGAGATATGCAAATGTATGTTTTATGAAAAGAGGCTAAAGCTTTGTTAATAAAGGCTGTAGGTATTAAAATAAACTTAGCAAGAACAACAGACCATCAAAATTATTTTAACATATTAAAAACATTAGCTGTCATTTATTTTTGTGTACACGTGTACGCGTGTTGTTACATATTTCACGGGCATATGATTGTACATTGTGTCAGACAGGATCCATCATGGACAATCAGCAGCTTATTCTCTCTGCTTCAGCCACAAGGTCCTGTATCAAAAGATCTAGGTCATTGTTTTATGCCTGGGCAGTTGGATGGAATTTGGAGAGGGAGAGATGCTGGAAGAGCAGACAGAGGAGAAGGATTTAAATAGTTGAGATGAGACGATCTTTTTTGAGACCACATCAGAGCCACTTAAAAAAAAAACCTGACAACTGATAATGAAAACGTGTTTTACTAATTAATATGACTTTTTAGAGTTGCTCTCTTAAAATAGTTTCAGTAACTGATGGTGATTGTGATTGTAATCCTGCAAAAGATTTCAAAGGCTTTCAGTGAAATAGTACACAGGTTAAAAAGATAGAGGTTGTAAATAAATATTATCTACTAACTTGTCACACCTAGGTTTTTCAAGTTTGCTAATACAGATAAAGTTTTGTACTGGAAAATAATGTAACTTCCTCTCTGTACTGCTCTGCCCCATCAGGAGGTGATTGTGTTAAACAGTGCCCACAGCAAACCTTCAGTGACTCCAGTGGGTGGCGATGTCAGACCTGCCACAGCTCATGCCAGACATGCCACGGACCTCATTCAACAGACTGTGATGTTTGTCTTGGTGGAAACCCTCCTCTACATGGCCAGTGCCCTCTGCTCAACTGCCCACTGGGACAGTACTTTGATGGTAACAGGAACAATCATGATGAGGTGTAATGTTTTTAGCTGTTAATAAATTTTCTCCCTTTTTAGAGAAAAGTAACTTTATATGGTGGTGAGGCCTATGTGATTTACTGCATTTCAGCAAAAAAAAAAAAAAACAGTAAAACAAAGTGAGTAAAGTACTGAATGGCAAGTTAGTATCAGCTGACAATAGAGACAGAGATCATACTGAACAACATGATACTTGATTCCCTGATGGAAATAATTGCTTTTCTCCAATGCAAGGTCAGAGCAGAGGCCTGTACAGTGTTGCAGTGTTGGTCGAATTGCCCAGAGTAAGTGATTGAACGAACTAAGCAGTAGATTGACGAAAAAATATCTGTAATTACTGTGTTGTGTTTCATGTTTTATGCCTTAATAAATCTCCTGACTGATTCCAGAGGTTTCTTTGAGACAGCAGAGGGGTCATGTGAAGTCTGTGATAGCTCCTGTCTGACATGTGATGGCAAGTCTCAGTGTCTATCCTGTGCTAATGGCCACTACCTAGAGAGTGGTATGTGTAGACTCAACTGTTCACTGCGGACATACCCTGCAGATGATGGTACCTGCAGACGCTGCCCTCCCCACTGTGACGTTTGCTCAGATGACAGCACCTGTTTCAGTAAGTTATTAATAGTGTGTGCAGCTAAGCTTTAAGAGGAAAAATATTCCAAGTGGGTGACATTTTTATAATGAATTGTAAGACATCTTGAAATCTCTTGTTAGAACTTTACCACCCCTCCTCCGTATAATTTCAGAATGCAGTTTCCTCTACCTGATGCTGAATGGTGTGTGTAAAGCTAGTTGTCCCATGGGCTATTATGAGGACATGGAAGAGGGCCGCTGTGGTCAGTGCCACCCTACCTGTGGCAGCTGTTCAGGGCCCCTGGAAGATGACTGCGAGACCTGCTCAATGTTTAGCCCCAAACTCTACAAGGGTGCATGCTCCAAAGACTGCCACTGGTACTTACTATGAAACTGAAGCTATGGAATGTCAAGGTGAGAATCTCAATACATAGATGTGACTTGGTTAGATTTTTAAGCAGTGTTGTATATGCGTGGTAACAGTTTTCTGACCATGTACTCTCTGGCACTGTCCTTTTTAAATAGTTAATCAGTTCCCATTGTTTATGTACAGGGGTATCTCACCTAGGGAAAGTTTATTTAAAATAGTCCATGTATCACCTTTCTACCAGACGTAGAAAGTGGCCTCCATGGCTCCTAACACAATGAAAATAATGCAAAAGACGGCATCAAGATGAGGGATTGTGGCTACAATTTTGATTGATGAAAGTGATGAAAGAACTGGATTTCTTCCAGAACTAGCTGGAGACGCTTCATGACCAGTGCACCCAGGCTGCACCCAGTGCGAGAAGGGACTTGTGCTGGATCCAAATACATTGTTGTGTGGCGTGACAGGCGACAGAAACTGCCCACACAGGACCTACCTGCACGACGACCAGTTCACCTGCATGGGTTGCCACCGGCACTGTTACTCTTGTGAGGGGCCGGGCAACGATCAATGCCAGACCTGTGCCGTCCCCAAATACCTTCATAGTGAGCTTTTTTTTTTCTCCACTAATGTCCAACTGCACTACACTGAAGTGGTTCAGGGTGTAAAATAAACAAAAATCCACAGAAAAGCTGATTTTTATTTGCATTTATTGCAAAGCCATACATGTCCAAACTATCAACTCTTGATAACTGTCTTATTTTTAACCTTGATGACTGAGTTTGAGCCTGAGTCATAAATTTTATCAAATATTCTTTGCATTTGGTGCCCTCAGTACACCTTGAAAACTGGTTGTATAGTGACGGCTCTTCTGGGAATATTTCACCTTATCAGTCTTGGTTAAATGGCCGTATGTTAACTGATCACCAGCTGGATAGATTTATGATGGCAATAGGCGTGTGTCCATTCTATTGTCATGAGGAAATAGGAACGTCTTGAGCCAACGTCTTTAAAATTTTCAAAATTTGCTAAAAACGTGACCACAAAATACACATTTTTAGCCATATCTGAAGAATTGATGATCGTATTTCACAGTGGATCGGACAACAAATTGGTGACACGCTGAGCACGCTGTGCAATATGTCTAGTACTCTGTCTAGTACTAGTCAGTACTTGAGTCAACATAAAGTTATTAACTAACACTATTACAAAAATCACTTTTTGGCAATTCATAGAAGAAAATAATCTCATGTGAAATGTTTTTTAAACATCCTTTACAAGGTAGGTGCTAAAAAACTGTTCTGATGAACAAGAAAGAAAAGTAAAAATGAGTGCATGACTACTAATGAATTGGGAGTGGAACGTTTTTTGCGTGTGTGCTATTTTCCAGATGGCACCTGTTTGACTGAGTGCCTAGCAGGTACATACAACACAAGGCAGGAGGCTGACGGAACAGAGCTGGGATTCTGTTCGCCCTGTGACCATGCCTGTTCCACCTGTACCGCAACATCGCCAAGATATTGCCTCACTTGTTCTCCAGGATACCTCCTTCAACTCTGTGTCATGCATTGTACCACAGGGTACAGAGTTGATCAAGCTCTCTATTTACTTTCTATTACAACTTCACCTCCTGTAATGGTAGCTGACTTATTGTGACAGCGCATGTCTGGAAATAAGCCAAAGTTTGCAAATGAAGCGAGTAGGTTCTATGTAATTTCATCAGCAGTTGAGCAACTCCCTCTGAAAACATTTCCATATGTGATGCCACTTGACATTTAGTCAAAGACTAATGTTAAATTATGTCTTCAAGAATCAAAAATCTGTGTACATGTCTGACTTGTTAATATTGATGATTTTATGCCTTTCTTCAGGTATTACAGAGAGGGCCCCTACTGTGAGAAATGTGACCAGGAGCAGGGCCTGAGTCCTGGAGGACCTGTCCATCTCCTCTCCTGGAGCTGCAAGGCACTAAGCTTCTACCAGTTCAGTGACGTCTGCAAACAGTGCCACACCAGTTGTCAGAGCTGCACAGGTGATTAAGGAGCTCTGTAATAACGGCGCTTGGAGAGCAGAACATCTGCCTAATGTTCACCTACAGTCAATATTTTTCACTTGTGTCAATACTGGACAACTTTTGCGTAAGGAGTCAGTTCATGTATCGTTATTTCATTTTGTTGTACAACCTTGTTTTGTATAATGATAACTACATTTATTTGATCCTCAGTGTGTAATGAATGCATGTTTTCAGATTCCTTGCCTCAGGCCTGTATGACATGCGACTGGGGCAGCACTGTAAAGGACAAATTCTGCTATCCACGTTGTGAGGAGGGCCGATACTACTCAGAATAGGTGCGCTCTTGGCTACGAGCTGCATTTCAACTGCATTCCAACACGGACCAGGGTGAGTTATAAAAATGACAAACCTTGGTTTACAGCTAAACTCAGACAGCTAAGGTTGGAAAAGGAGGAGGCATTTAGGAGTGGTGGCAGGGCCGGGTGCAGGGCAATAAAGCTAAACGACTGTACTCAGAGAGACTATAGAACCAGTTCTCTGCAAACGACGTCACTTCTGTCTGGAGGGGGTTCAGACAGATCACAAACCCAAAGTCCTCCACTTCTCGCCTGTCAAATGAGTTGAACCAGTTCTACTGCTGCTTTAAGAGTCAATCGGACACCATCCCCCGTGACTCTTCCGCTCAGCTTCAGCCTCAGTCTACCAATTCTTTCCCCCTCTTCTCCGAGCTGTCTGCCATCCGCATTGACCTCTGTGGTTATGAAGTCCTTTGAACGCCTTGTGTTGTCCCACCTAAAATCCATTACAGTCCCACTCCTGGACCCCCTGCAGTTTGCCCATAGAACCAACAGGTCTGTAGATGATGCAGTAAACATGGCCCTTCACTACATCCTCCAGCACCTGGACTCCCCAGGAACTGGCCCTGCTTCAGGACAAGCTCTCTCAGCTGAGCATGCCTGACTCCACCTGCAGGTGGATGACTGACTTCCTGACAGACAGGAAGCAGCACGTGAAGCTGGGAAAACATGTCTCTGATTCCATGACCATCAGCACCGGTTCCCCTCAAGGCTGCGTTCTTTCCCCCCTTCTCTTCTCCCTGTACACCAACAGCTGCACCTCCAGTCACCAGTCTGTCAAGCTCCTGACCACCCTCACTGGGTTCATCTCAGGTGGGGATGAGTCCACCTACAGGTGGGAGATCGACCATCTGGTGACCTGGTGCAGCCAGAACAGTCTGGAGCTCAACGCTCTGAAGACCATGGAGATGGTCGTTGACATCACAGCCCTACCCTCCCCCATCATCCTGTGTGACTCCCCAGTCACCACTACGGACTCCTTCCGCTTCCTGGGCACCATCATCTCCCAGGACCTCAAGTAGGAACTGAACATCACCTCCCTCACCAAGAAGGCCCAGCAGAGGATGTACTTCCTGCGGCAGCTGAAGAAGTTCAGCCTGCCAAAGACAATGATGGTGCACTTCTTCACCACCATTATTGAGTCCATCCTCACCTCCTCCATCACCATCTGGTACGCTGCAGCCTGCCCTTGTCCCTGGCAGTGGCAGCAGTGTCATCATTTGCTCTGCAGAGATGGTGATTGGCTGCAATCTTCCTTTTCTTCTGGACCTGTACGCCTCGAGGAGGAGGCTGAGGTCCATCAGGACCAAAACCTCTCGCCACAAAAACAGTTTCTTCCTGTCTGCAGCTAGCCTCATTAACAAATGAGTGTTTTTCACTAACCAACCCACGGTGAAATAAATAAAAAAACCTACAAACAACTAAATTAAGAACAAAAACAACATGCTTAAAATAGCAAAGAGAAAACACTGCTACATACAAAAATTGACAGGCTGCTGCACCTGCTGGAAAATGTGATGTCATGTACTTCTGTGCACCAGTCGGGATGTAGCAATATTGTGAAAGTTTTTATATCACATCTCTTGCTGTGAGTCTGCGTCACACTTTTTTAATCAATTGATGTTTTTTTATAATGCCTGGTTTTAGGGTTTGCTGCAGCCTCCTCAGCACCCTTCCTTCCATGCCTCTACACATTGAGTGAAATAAGTCGTTTATTTTAAAAATGGTTGAATTCTGAAATTCTTGCGTGTCACTCGGGGGCCCTTTTTGGAGTGCAGGGCCCATTTCAATTGAAAGACCGCCAATACTTAAGGTTAGAAATTAAATTTTCAGGGCATCTTTCTACAACAAGCAACACAAATGTGCAGACAGATATTTACTCAGAACAACAACAGATGTCAATAAAAGCCACTTCTGTACAAAGAGGTTGTTCCAAAGAGACCACATTTCTGACTGGCCTAATGTCTATAACCAACTTTGTCCTTGTGATATTATACCATTGTAGGACACCTGTGAGGCATGTGACACCTCGTGTAGGCATTGCACTGGACCCAGACCCAGCCAGTGTCTAACTTGTCACCGGGATTCTGAAGGGAATGACACTAATTGCTGTGTTAGTGACAGCGCTCAGGTAGAGACCCTGTCTATTATAAGAGAAATATGATTGTTTGGATACGACTATCTACTAATGGCAGTTTTCTGTTCTAGCATTGTGTGTGGAGGCCCCCCAACCCAAGTCAGGAGACGGTCAGGTAACAGACCTGACTAGAATGGGCATTTCCTTAAGAAAATGCGTGTGAGAGCTGCCAGCTATTTTTTGCGAATGCTACCGCTGTCGGTGCAATGTGCGGCTCCATCAGCTAAGACACTCAATGATGTGCTGCACACTTGTTCAACAAACCTATGAAACCAGTGTGGGAGATGTGACCCACAACAGGTTCATAATTTATATAAACGCAGCGCAGTGAGAATCCAAGCGCACCTGGCTTTAAAAGGGAGATGACACTGATTGGTGTATTGCCATGTGTTATGCCCTACACACCCATGACTTATTCACAGACTAAGTACGACTCTTTTGAACCATGCGCCCGGCGCCAAGACAATTATTGATGCCCTCAAACTGGCAAAATTGGAGTTGGACACGCCCCAAACGCAACTGCGCTATGCGCTTCACGCCGTGAAGGGCCCTGTGTATATAAAGATTTGCCCCTTCGCCATTTTTCATCTCTGATGCACTGGCATTTTGGTTCTCCATCATGATAATACGCACGCTCACAGAGGGGATTCAGTAGTATAATGCGCTTGCTATGGGAAAACGTGGTCACAGGAGTGTACATATGTTAGTAGGCAACTACCTGGTGGTGTTTTATTAAAACTAACAAAAGCTGGTTGCTGTTTTGACACAGTGGAGTAGATCATATTTTATCACGTTCTCTTTTTTTGGCTTTATGTTCATTGCGTTTACATTACATTTACATTACATTTATTCATTTAGCTGTAACTTTTATCCAAAGCGACTTACAATTGCTATATATCAGAGGTCGCACGTCTCTGGAGCAACTAGGGGTCAAGTGTCTTACTCAGGGACACATTGGTGTCATGTTTACATAAAGCAGCTGTTTTATTTGCAAATTCCATAAAACCTGGGCAATAGTAATTAATAATAAAATATAATATGGCTATTTAGTCTTATTGGCTTGCATCTGCCATCAAGGCTATTTTTGAAAATCACATCACGTAGGCTACGGTATGGATGGATAGAAGCTTCAGACACAGGTGGAGGGCCGGGTCTTTCACCTGGCCCTTTTTCCAGGGTTCCCACTTGGGACCTGGCAGTGGATCTCGAAGCGTTGGCTGGGGCCCCCTTCGAACCCCTGGAGTCGGCTGAGGCCAAGCACCTGACCCTTAAGATGGCCGTGAGGGCGCACTCTACGAGAGGCATGATGGCCTCTAGGGCCCTCCTCTCAGGGGCTTCTCTCCAGGATTTGTGTGAGGCAGCTGGCTGGGCCACTCCTCACACTTTCATCCGGTTTTACAGTCTGGACCTTCCTTCTGCACCCCACCCGTGCGCTCCCCTCTTAGTCGTGCCTACTGGGTACTGCAAGCTGGGGGAAGGCGAGGGTTTCGGCACGGCCTAGTGGGTATCTCGTTCCCTTAGTGTTGTCACCGACGCAGTTCGAGTTCCTTGTGCTTATATACGCCTCTAGTTGCGCCATCACACGCTACCATTCTAGCAACACCAATAGGATTGGAATAGTTTCATTCATGATTCAGCCCTGCCACGCCCAGAGGCGTTTCCCATAGTGTCGTCACCGACGCAGTGTCTAATTCCCCTTCTCGGGGAACAAGGGTTACATACGTAACCCGAGACGTTTTGGACGATAAGTGTGCTTGAGATGATGTGGACCACTTTGTGTCCTCACTGTTAATATTCTGTAATGAATGAGTTTGGTGATAGAACTGCACATAGGCCTATGTTCATTGTTATTACTGCTATTGATAAGCCTGAGCTTTCAATTATTGTTAATAATAGTTGCAACTTGCACTCTTAAATGTGCATTGAAAATTGCCAGCTGATAAAACCTGTGCTGGAGGGACCAGATTCATAAAACATCTAAGGCTTCATGGAGCTCATAACTGACTGAGTTAAATGGCGATTAACACTAAACTTTAGAAAATCAGTCTATTTGCCCCACCTGCATAGGTGAAATTTACACTGGGGACGCTGGGGACATGTCCCCAACACTTTTTCTGTTGTTTATCACAAAATGCTATTTAAAGAAATATTTATTGATGAAAATATACGACTGCGGGGTCTGTGGGTCCTCCCCCAGAAGATTTTGAGCATTAAACACTTAATTTCCTGCGTTCTGGAGACATTTTCCGCACCAATTTATGGTGGAAATGTCTTTATTTATATAAAGGGAACACAAAATTCAGGTGGTATGTGACGATATCGAATATAAAAATATAATTGAATATAATGCAGTAATCAGTAAATAGTTTTCTTTTAGCTTAAGTAATTTTTTTTGACAATGCAGATGTGTTTTCTCTATATATTTACGTTACATTGGGGCGGCTGTTTTCAGTGGGAAGAGCTGGTGGGCCGTTAATCGAAAGGTCGGCGGTTCAATCCCCGGCTCCCCCAGGTTTTCTTTTATCTTAAGTAATTTTTGCAGATGTGTTTTCTATATATATTTACATTGCAATGATGTTTTCTTATTGTGCCAAAAAAACTCTCATAGCACTTACATTTGTTATTTAACATTTCTTGTTGTAAGCTATTCTTCAGAACTAAAATATCTTCTAGTCTTGTTCTTGTGACCCCAATATTCTGGATTGTAACGTAGCCTATCATATGCTGTGTTTTGTGTTTTGTCACAACTCATTAGTAAAACCTATTGTCTTTCGCGCTACTGACGAACAACATTGTAAACAAGAAAACATTGTAGAGATTTAACTCGCGGACTGGCTGTCAGACTAGTCTGGCCTGTCGTTAATTATCCACTCAACCAACGGCAGCGATGACAAAGCAAGCTGTCTATGAAGATTCTCAGTCATCCAGGTCATAGTTATCCAACGAAGGTAAAAAATGAAGGGCAACTGGACTTGGTAAACTGGACTGGTACCAAGTCCAGTTGCCCTTCATTTTTTACCTTTGTTGGATAACTATGACCTGGATGACTGAGAATCTTCATAGACATCTTGCTAATCATTTTGGGATGAACACCCTCAGATTGGTACGGGAGTATGAAAGGACAGCCAGGAAAATTGCAGACTACAGGAATCACCTACGATTCAACCTGAGATGCAGACAACACAAACTTATTCCCACAGCCTACACTTAGGCTCCACAGTAAAAGGACACAGAGCCGGAATAATCCTGGAGAAAGCACAACACTAGCTACTGAACGAGAGAGTGAGACAGATACACTTCACAATTGAAGCCCTGAACAAAGAAATGGACAACATACACCACAAACTAGAAACACATCTGCCCAGTACAGCACTGGTAAAGGTCATGGACTTCATCAAGAAAGCACAGCTATCTCAGCACAACAAGAGCAAAGAAAGACAGACCCGGAAATTCCAAAACCTACAGTCCAGAGCGAGCTGCACTAACAAAACAGGAGAATTGTCTTGGAGGAGAAAGGACAATAACCCCACAACACTTGAAACAGACAACAGATGGGTGAAAAACTTGTCAGATAGGGAACTCACCCAACCAGAGAAAGACGTTCTGGCCAAAGGATTAAACTTTGCCATTACACCACAGCAACTACCGATAGTAGACCTCATCACAGCCACAGAATCAGCCATTAGGAAAAACAAATTAACAGAAACAGAAGCGGAACAGCTCAGACTAAAGGTATCTGCAGCCCTTTCTAATGCGAAGGCCCCCCCTTCCAACCTCACCATCCAAGAAAGGAAGGCTGTGACATCCTGAGCAAGGATCAAAACATCACTATCCTACCTGCGGACAAAGGAAGATGCAGTAGTACTTAACACAGCTGACTACCAGAACAAAGTCAACATACTACTAATGGACACAAACACGTATGAGACACTGAGACGAGACCCAACCAGCGGATACAAGAAAAAGGCCATAGAATGTCTACAACAGTTACAGAAGGACAACACCATCACCCGTGAACAATATTACCGTTTGTATCCTGGAGAAGCCATTCCATTCATTTATGGACTACCCAAGATACACAAAGAAGGAGCCCCACTCAGGCCGATTATCAGCAGCATTAACTCGGTCACCTACAACATTGCCAAACACATTTCCACCATCTTAGCTCCATTGGTGGGAAACACGCCTCACCACATCCAAACAAAACTCTATTGAATTGGAAAACAAAGTTCGAGGACTAAAACTGGATCCAGATGAAACCATGGTATCCTATGACGTGACTTCTTTGTTCACCTGCATCCCCACCATAGAGGCAGTAGAAACCGTTAGGAAACGGCTAACACAAGACAACACCCTGGACAACAGAACTAGCTAGCCCTGACCAAATCTGCAAATTACTCGACCTCTGTCTAAACACCACCTATTTCCAGTACAACGGTGGATTCTACAGACAGAAGCATGGCTGTGCCATGGGCTCACCGGTATCCCGATTGTGGCCAACATCTACATGGAAGAAGTGGAGAATAAAGCCCTCAACTCCTTCAGAGGAATAGCACCGAGCCACTGGTACAGATATGTGGACGACACCTGGGTCAAAAAAAAGCCAGGAAGTGCAAGCCTTCACAGAACACATCAACTCTGTGGACAGTAACATCAAGTTCACACGAGAAGATGTTCACAACAACAGTTTGGCCTTCCTGGACTGCGCTGTACACATTGAAGAGGACAGGAGCCTGCAGATTGGTGTTTACAGAAAACCCACACACACGGACCAATACCTACTCTTCGATTCACACCACCCACTGGAGCACAAGCTAGGGTCATGAGAACACTGCACCACAGAGCGGAAAACATACCAACAAGCGCCCAAGCCAGAGAGAAGGAACAGAACCACCTGAAGGGGGCACTTACAGCCTGTGGATACCCTAAATGGGCTTTTGTGAAGACAGCCACAAAATCCAAGAAGAACAAAACTACAGGGGAGGAGGAAAAGAAGGTCAAACGCAACAACATTGTGATTCCATACGTGTCTGGAGTATCAGAGAAACTCAGGAGGATTTTTAACAAACATAACATCCCTGTGTTTTTTAAACCCAAGAACACGCTAAGACAGATGCTGGTACACCCCAAAGACCGCACACCCAAACACAAGAAAAGCAATCTAGTGTATGCGGTCCAATGCAGTGAGGAATGCACGGACCTGTATATTGGGGAGACTAAACAACCACTACACAAACGCATGGCTCAACACAGAAGGGCCAACTCCTCAGGTCAAGACTCTGCTGTCTACTTACATCTGAAGGACAGAGGACACTCGTTTGAGGACCACCAGGTGCGCATTTTAGACAGAGAAGATGGATGGTTTGAAAGAGGTGTCAAGGAAGCCATCTACACCAGGGTTGAGAAGCCGTCATTGAACAGGGGAGGGGGTCTACGCCACCACTTATCCCCCACTTACAATGCTGTCCTTTCATCACTTCCCAGGAAACTCAACAAACGTAACCTATTGGCCTCAGGTGAAGATACCAACGATGGTCGTTCAGTCTTGGCCACAGGTAGTCTCAACGACTGTAACGACTGTCGTCACAGCAACAAGGAACACTAACGAACCAGCGGTATCGATGACCCGAGATAACGACCCACTGAGGTTAAATAGCTGAGTTTCCCTGCCAGTCAGTCAGAACTGAAGAAGTCCTTTGGATAAGGGACGAAACGTCTTCCAGTAGCTTCAACCAAGTCCAGTTGCCCTTTCATTTTTTACCTTCGTTGGATGACAAAGCAAGCTTTTAATAGCAGGTGAATCCACACAACATGCGCGTCTCACTTCTCTCGCGAGTGCGCACGTCAAATATGACATCCAGACTTTTGTAAAAGAGAATATAAAGTTGAATCTGTCACAGATCAACCAAAGTCCCTCAGACCTGTAGACCGTTAGCCTCCCTCGCTTTTAACTTGATGGTTTGATCTCTGTCATCGCCTTGTTATAGTTTATGGTCATCACACGCGACTGGTCAAATGCACACACGAGAGTGTGCGTGGCCGAGCAGTGTGGAGAGAAAATGCACAGGAGAACGAAGGAAAGAGAACAGGCAGAGCAGAGGCGGAGAAAAGCAGCAGGAAAGTACCATTAAATGCTGTAAAATATCGATATCTTCATGATTAAGGGACATGCTGGTGTTTATAAAAGAAAACAGACTACTAGCAGGGCTGCCCTTCAAATCGTATCACAACTACCTTTCCAGAGTTGATTCTATGGTTTAATAAAAAGTTTCATGCCATGAATGAAAGCAGAAGATGCGTTTGTAGGGGAATAATCTGGAAATAAAGACCTGTATACTCAATTCATATCTCCAGTTACTCAGAGCTACTGCAGAGCTTCATGATGATAAACATAAATCCAGTCAGAGCTCTGAGGAAATGCAGATGCAAAACAAACACTCCAAAAGTGCACAAAAATGATATAGGCCTATACATAACATTTTAATCCTATTGCCTTAAATGTGTGTGATTTTTCACCTTTGCTCTTTGTTTCTATTGCAGATAATTTTTCTACTTTTTTTTTTTACAGCATTTAGCCTGCTGCTTTTTTAAATAAATAGTTTAATGATAGCTAATGATAATATTAGTACATTTTAGCACGCCAATTTAAGCGTGCCATTGTCAACTTTAATTGTATAAAGCGTAATTTCCCAACAAACAAAAATGTAGCTAGTGAAAATGCTGCGTGGCTAGTGAAAAACCACTAGCCACATTGGCTAGTGAGTAAAAAAGTTAATGTCAAGCCCTGCTAATGGAACTAATGGAATAGTCACTAGTAACAAAAAATTAAGTACTAGTATGTAATCAATTGTTACTAGTAAAACAGGGATAGTTACTAGTAGCTAATAAATAAGTACTAGTAGTTTTTAAATAGCGACTAGTGCGTTTTACGGAATAAATGTTTAAATGGCTTTCTATAAAGGTTTAAGATAACAAATTGGGATGATACACCTCCTCTGCATTTCATTAGCCAGTGTACAGTAATATCATTAAACCGTCATATAGCCTAAGTTAACATTAAAGTTCAGCAGTTAAAATACCTTGCACAACATAGTATTTTAAATCATATCCTATATCAGCATATTCTGAATCACAGTCAACCATTCGTGAAATCTATGGAATAGTCTTTGTGCTTTGTGGCCTTTAACCGTGCACATCCAGATAATATTTTTCAATTAATTCTATGCATTATTGTTTCAACTTAAATATTGACATGAACTGTTTATGTATTATGGTGGTTACCTTTTGTTTACAAAGTTGTGGGTGATTCTGATGTAATTTCTGTCCCGACAGATGGGATGAGTCCCACAGAGGTCTGCTGGCAGACCCTTCTGGCCATGTAGCCTATACCATGCACATGTATACCTAGCCTATATGTAATGCTGACTAATATATTTTCTTGCTTGCATATGGGACAAAAGATGCACACTGACCAAAATGAAAAATCGGTCATGTTTGGAGTGACTCATGTGATTGCTGTAGATGGATACAGCAAGAAAATTGGTGCAAAATACAAGTATGCCTGCAAAGAACAATCTAGCCATCTATGAAGAGGTGTACAGGTCAGTGTTGTATGTTATGTTTGATCGAACATATTTTATCAATTGTTATAATATTAATAATTGAGCGTTTCACATGTTTATGTAGACCTGCAGTAACACATTATGGAATGTGGGATCAACTTCGCGTGGATCATGGCAAAGAGTTTTACCTGTGCCTCTACATGCAGCAAAGACAGCCATACCTCCAAACACAGTCAACAAGGGTAATGTCAACCATCTGCATCTACATTACACCATTGGTGAAAAGTAACTAAGTAGGCTATATTAAGCCAAGTAATGCACTTAAGTACAAGTCTGAGGAACTTGTACTATACTTGAGCATATCCATGTCCTGCTACTTTATACTCCACTACATAATGAGTAATCTAATAATTTCAAATATATCAATAACCTGGGCCAATTGTCAAGAGTGGTTACAATCAGTACTTCAGATAATACTTATTCTAGGATTTTGATTCCATAACTTTTTCTTATGATGTTTTCAACATTGTGTGGTCTTGGGGATTTTACAACAAGGTTATTCTTAGTCTATTCACTAGTTCCCAACTGTTAATAACATAGAAACACGTTGCTAACAAACCTCTATCATCTCCTTAAAAACAAACACACACACACAGAATCACACAGTGGAAAGGATGTGGCCAGAAATTAACAACAGAGTGAATTATCCATTAAAGGAGGCCCTCATCCAGCTACAAGATCAGGAAGCAATAGATATGGAGGACAGTCTGACAAGGTTCTGCACATCCAATCTGACCTGCCAGATGTGCCAGATTGGCATAAACAGATTTGTGCAATCATGGAATGCTCACGGGATTCCAGGTATGTCACATTTCCCTTACAAGTTATTCAGTTTAAGTGTTTTATTATTGAACATCACAACAAACATTTCTTGTGTTGTTAAAGAGAGAGGGATACCAAATCACCTAGCAGGGACTGGAACACCAAGACAAATCACAACCGATCTTCTACCAGATGCCACAGTTGCAGCTGACATGTATCACAGGGACATGGGATCCTCCCTCACCAGAGTATCTTCATTCGGAAGTGTCCCCTTTCTGTCTGAGGCAGACAAAGTGAGAGCAGAGCAGCCCTTTGCACATTATTATCCCCACCTTTCAGTTATTTTTGACAGTGCTGTCAATTACAACTATGCTCCCTTCAAAGAGGCCTTGATCTACCTCATCGATGTAACAAACACTTGTTCCTAATTTCATATGCACTGGATTGTGAGGAGCCTTGTAACGGATCGCTGGACATCTGTGTCTGTGGACACCATTATGCAGTTACTACTCCAACAGTAGAGGGTGTAAGTATACCCTGATAGTATTTACCATACAAGTTTTACTTTATATGTATATAAGTGTCACTATAAAAATGTCAACTGCCTATTTTGTTACCATTAATAAATCCTTTTACTGTCATTGTACCCATATTAGCCATTATTCACAGGGTCGTTTTATGGAGAAGAAATATATTTATTTTGCGTTTGTACAGAAAGAATAATCAGACAAACAAAGTAAGTCCAGCTTTGCAAATCTCCACAGAAGAGCCTGTCACAACATATTGCCATGTTTAGGCCTACTAGCTCTTATAAAATCACTGTGGGCTGAGAACAATAATGTAGCATAAAAACATCTTGCCACATTTAGACCTACTAGCTCTTATAAAACTACTGTGAGGTGGGAACAATGATGTAACATAAAACATCGTTACATTTTCTAGCTCTTAAAACTCCAGAACTAAGATGCGACATAAAAAACATCAGTCCTCAATATCAAAAGTATTTATAACATGATATAACACTGACAAATAAGGATTGGTGGCAAGCAGAAAAGCAGCATTTACTCTTCGTGTGCCAGCTCTCTCATGACATTTACTACACCAGAAAGGCCAGTGACTCTGTGAATGTTGATGGAAAAATCATCCGCTTGACACTTCAAACACATTGAGGAATTCTGAAGCCACACAGTAGTGCAGGATCTGCATCCGACCAAACTTCCACAGCATGCTGCAAATACTGGATCTTCCATGATTCCTGCCAGTGTAAGAAATAAATATTAGAGGTCTGAAAACACAATACAAGATATACTAGATGAAGAATGAAAAATATTTTCCAATTGAATGTCAGACAGCGTTTCAAAAAAGCATCCTTTATGTAACTGAGTCTATGTATGGTATAAGTTCAGAGAGAATTAACAAATTCCTTTCTGTGTCTACAGATGCTCCAAGCACACCCTGTGCCACTTAACATCACGGATGTAAATTCCTGATGTACGCTTAAGGAATGGCTCTGTTTTTACAGACTGGTTTCCTTAATCTCAATTGGCTATACAAAGAACACCAGGAGCAGGACACTTGAGCTTTTAAATGACCACTACATCATAAATTCCACCAAACAACAACAATATGTTTGTCAGGGTGAATAGATTATTTTTTGTCTTCTTGAGGACAAGACTTACCTCTGTAAACCAGACAAGTGAATGTATCCCTAACATTTCTGGACTGTTCTTCGGTCAGTAAATGTTGTGTTCCTGTTTCGATGGAGCAGGTCAGAGAGTCCCTGAATGGGAGTTGTCACCTCAGACAAACCCTGAGCAGCCAGGACAATTACCTCGATCTTCTCGAACACACTGTCCAGTCCACCCTCATCATCTCTGCATCTGTGAAAGAGAAACGTCACATGTATATATTAAATAATTAGAAACTGTTAATGTATGCACATGCCATTACATTCAGATTGATTATGGACACAGAAACGATTGCTTTTGTGCCAATCAAATATTGCATAAAGTGTCCATTGACTGAAACTGTCCAATTGTAGGAGATATAGTTGTATCAAAGGAAAGACTCAGATAAACATGGCAGTGTTTCTGGACAGACTGACGGAGAAATGTGCCATTAGGTACTTTCATGTATTCTCTTTGAATATGTTGTATCAGACCAGCTCTGCTCTTTAATTCAGGCCATGCTTAGCCTTTTACAGTGCCTGATGTCAGGAGGAAAAACTGAGGGGGTGTAACAGTAGCCAGTAGTGAGTAGCCTCACTCTTGAAGACGGACATGTGAATGTATATTCATTTAGTTTTTATCTGAAATGGCAAAGGTTTGACATTGTTTATGGTTCCAGTTTAAAATGTGAGACTTTATAAATGTTGACGTGACAATTAATAGCCCAATATATTTGCCACTTAGCTGTGAAGCAACTTAAAAGTTCATGCTACTGTCACAGTACATTTTCAAGACACAGGGTTACCTAAACTATAATTTGAGATGGTAAATAAAATTGTTCTAATGAAGCACCTCTTGTTCCTTCTGAGTCCAATATTTCCACTCCATTGTGGTCTGTCAGGATGAGTTGTTCATTGATTCCTAAGGCATCTTTTTCATAAAACATCTAAGGCTTCATGTAGCTCCTAACTGGCTGAGTTAAATGGTGATTAACACTAAACTTTAGAAAATCAGTCTATTCTCCCCACCTGCTTAGGTGTAATTTACACTGGGGAGGCTGGGAACATGTCCCCAACACTTTTTCTGTTGTTTATCCCAAAAAGCCATTTAAAGAAATATTCATTGATGAAAATATAGGATTGGGGGGTCTGTGGGTCCTCCCCCAGATGATTTTGAGCATTAAACACTTAATTTCCTGCATTCTGGAGATATTTTCCGCACCAATTTATGGTGGAAATGTCTTTATTTATATAAAGGGAAACACAAAATTCAGGTGGCAGGTGACGATTCCGAATATAAAAATATAATTGAATATAATGCAGTAATCAGTAAATAGTTTTCTTTTAGCTTAAGTAATTTTTTTTGACAATGCAGATGTGTTTTCTCTATATATTTACGTCACATTGGGGCGGCTGTTTTCAGTGGGAAGAGCTGGTGGGCCGTTAATCGAAAGGTCGGCGGTTCAATCCCCGGCTCCCCCAGGCTTCATGTCGAAGTCTCCTTGGCGCCTGTTCCGCCATTGTGTGAATGTTAGTTTCTCTTTGAGCACCTAGGCTCAGTGTGTGGATGTAGTGTAAACGTAATAATAAAATATCTTCTAGTCTTGTTCTTGTGACCCCAATATTCTGGATTGTAACGTAGCCTATCATATGCTGTGTTTTGTGTTTTGTCACAACTCTAAGCTTCATTACTGAAGCCTATTGTCTTTAACGCTACTGACGAACAACATTGTAAACAAGAAAACGTTGTAGAGATTTAACTCACAGACTGGCTGTCAGACTAGTCTGGCCTGTCGTTAATTATCCACTCAACCAAAGGCAGCGATCACAAAGCAAGCTTTTTAATAGCAGGTGAATCCACACAACTTGCGCGTCTCACTCTCTCACTTCTCTCGCGAGTGCGCACGTCAAATAGAAAATACATCCAGACTTTCATAAAAGAAAATATATAAAGTCGAATGAAACTGCACTCAGACCTGTAGACTGTTAGCCTCCCTCGCTTTTAATTTGATGTTTTGATCTCTGTCGTCACCTTCTTATATACAGTTTATGGTCATCACACGCGACTGGTCGCATGCACACGCACATCAACACAGCGTTCAGTCAGTGCGTGGCAGAGCAGTGTGGAGAGAAAATGCACAGGAGAACGAAGGAAAGAGAACAGGCAGAGCAGAGGCAGAGAAAAGCAGCAGGAAAGTACCATTAAATGCTGTAAAATATCGATATCTTCATGATTAAGGGACATGCTGGTGTTTATAAAAGAAAACAGACTACTAGCAGGGCTGCCCTTCAAATCGTCATATCACAACTACCTTTCCAGAGTTGATTCTATGGTTTAATAAAAAGTTTTCATGCCATGAATGAAAGCAGAAGATGCGTTTGTAGGGGAATAATCTGGAAAATAAAGACCTGTATACTCAATTCATATCTCCAGTTACTCAGAGCTACTGCAGAGCTTCATGATGATAAACATAAATCCAGTCAGAGCTCTGAGGAAATGCAGATGCAAAACAAACACTCCAAAAGTGCACAAAAATGATATAGGCCTATACATAACATTTTAATCCTATTGCCTTAAATGTGTGTGATTTTTTCACCTTTGCTCTTTGTTTCTAATGCAGATAATTTTTCTACTTTTTTTTTTTACAGCATTTAGCCTGCTGCTTTTTTAAATAAATAGTATTTAATGATAGCTAATGATAATATTAGTACATTTTAGCACGCCAATTTAAGCGTGCCATTGTCAACTTTAATTGTATAAAGCGTAATTTCCCAACAACAAAAATGTGGCTAGTGAAAAAGTGGCAGGTGACGATTCAGAATATAAAAATATAATTGAATATAATGCAGTAATCAGTAAACAGTTTTCTTTTATCTTAAGTAATTTTTGCAGATGTTTTCTATATATATTTACATTGCAATGCATGTTTTCTTATTGTGCCAAAAAAAACTCTCATAGCACTTACATTTGTTATTTAACATTTCTTGTTGTAAGCTATTCTTCAGAACATAAAATATCTTCTAGTCTTGTTCTTGTGACCCCAATATTCTGGATTGTAACGTAGCCTATCATATGCTGTGTTTTGTGTTTTGTCACAACTTCATTAGTAAAACCTATTGTCTTTCGCGCTACTGACGAACAACATTGTAAACAAGAAAACATTGTAGAGATTTAACTCGCGGACTGGCTGTCAGACTAGTCTGGCCTGTCGTTAATTATCCACTCAACCAACGGCAGCGATGACAAAGCAAGCTGTCTATGAAGATTCTCAGTCATCCAGGTCATAGTTATCCAACGAAGGTAAAAAATGAAGGGCAACTGGACTTGGTAAACTGGACTGGTACCAAGTCCAGTTGCCCTTCATTTTTTACCTTGGATAACTATGACCTGGATGACTGAGAATCTTCATAGACATCTTGCTAATCATTTTGGGATGAACACCCTCAGATTGGTACGGGAGTATGAAAGGACAGCCAGGAAAATTGCAGACTACAGGAATCACCTACGATTCAACCTGAGATGCAGACAACACAAACTTATTCCCAACAGCCTACACTTAGGCTCCACAGTAAAAGGACACAGAGCCGGAATAATCCTGGAGAAAGCACAACACTAGCTACTGAACGAGAGAGTGAGACAGATACACTTCACAATTGAAGCCCTGAACAAAGAAATGGACAACATACACCACAAACTAGAAACACATCTGCCCAGTACAGCACTGGTAAAGGTCATGGACTTCATCAAGAAAGCACAGCTATCTCAGCACAACAAGAGCAAAGAAAGACAGACCCGGAAATTCCAAAACCTACAGTCCAGAGCGAGCTGCACTAACAAAACAGGAGAATTGTCTTGGAGGAGAAAGGACAATAACCCCACAACACTTGAAACAGACAACAGATGGGTGAAAAACTTGTCAGATAGGGAACTCACCCAACCAGAGAAAGACGTTCTGGCCAAAGGATTAAACTTTGCCATTACACCACAGCAACTACCGATAGTAGACCTCATCACAGCCACAGAATCAGCCATTAGGAAAAACAAATTAACAGAAACAGAAGCGGAACAGCTCAGACTAAAGGTATCTGCAGCCCTTTCTAATGCGAAGGCCCCCCCTTCCAACCTCACCATCCAAGAAAGGAAGGCTGTGACATCCCTGAGCAAGGATCAAAACATCACTATCCTACCTGCGGACAAAGGAAGATGCACGGTAGTACTTAACACAGCTGACTACCAGAACAAAGTCAACATACTACTAATGGACACAAACACGTATGAGACACTGAGACGAGACCCAACCAGCGGATACAAGAAAAAGGCCATAGAATGTCTACAACAGTTACAGAAGGACAACACCATCACCCGTGAACAATATTACCGTTTGTATCCTGGAGAAGCCATTCCATTCATTTATGGACTACCCAAGATACACAAAGAAGGAGCCCCACTCAGGCCGATTATCAGCAGCATTAACTCGGTCACCTACAACATTGCCAAACACATTTCCACCATCTTAGCTCCATTGGTGGGAAACACGCCTCACCACATCCAAAACTCTATTGAATTGGAAAAACAAAGTTCGAGGACTAAAACTGGATCCAGATGAAACCATGGTATCCTATGACGTGACTTCTTTGTTCACCTGCATCCCCACCATAGAGGCAGTAGAAACCGTTAGGAAACGGCTAACACAAGACAACACCCTGGACAACAGAACTAGCTAGCCCTGACCAAATCTGCAAATTACTCGACCTCTGTCTAAACACCACCTATTTCCAGTACAACGGTGGATTCTACAGACAGAAGCATGGCTGTGCCATGGGCTCACCGGTATCCCCGATTGTGGCCAACATCTACATGGAAGAAGTGGAGAATAAAGCCCTCAACTCCTTCAGAGGAATAGCACCGAGCCACTGGTACAGATATGTGGACGACACCTGGGTCAAAATCAAAAGCCAGGAAGTGCAAGCCTTCACAGAACACATCAACTCTGTGGACAGTAACATCAAGTTCACACGAGAAGATGTTCACAACAACAGTTTGGCCTTCCTGGACTGCGCTGTACACATTGAAGAGGACAGGAGCCTGCAGATTGGTGTTTACAGAAAACCCACACACAGACCAATACCTACTCTTCGATTCACACCACCCACTGGAGCACAAGCTAGGGGTCATGAGAACACTGCACCACAGAGCGGAAAACATACCAACAAGCGCCCAAGCCAGAGAGAAGGAACAGAACCACCTGAAGGGGGCACTTACAGCCTGTGGATACCCTAAATGGGCTTTTGTGAAGACAGCCACAAAATCCAAGAAGAACAAAACTACAGGGGAGGAGGAAAAGAAGGTCAAACGCAACAACATTGTGATTCCATACGTGTCTGGAGTATCAGAGAAACTCAGGAGGATTTTTAACAAACATAACATCCCTGTGTTTTTTAAACCCAAGAACACGCTAAGACAGATGCTGGTACACCCCAAAGACCGCACACCCAAACACAAGAAAAGCAATCTAGTGTATGCGGTCCAATGCAGTGAGGAATGCACGGACCTGTATATTGGGGAGACTAAACAACCACTACACAAACGCATGGCTCAACACAGAAGGGCCAACTCCTCAGGTCAAGACTCTGCTGTCTACTTACATCTGAAGGACAGAGGACACTCGTTTGAGGACCACCAGGTGCGCATTTTAGACAGAGAAGATGGATGGTTTGAAAGAGGTGTCAAGGAAGCCATCTACACCAGGGTTGAGAAGCCGTCATTGAACAGGGGAGGGGGTCTACGCCACCACTTATCCCCCACTTACAATGCTGTCCTTTCATCACTTCCCAGGAAACTCAACAAACGTAACCTATTGGCCTCAGGTGAAGATACCAACGATGGTCGTTCAGTCTTGGCCACAGGTAGTCTCAACGACTGTAACGACTGTCGTCACAGCAACAAGGAACACTAACGAACCAGCGGTATCGATGACCCGAGATAACGACCCCACTGAGGTTAAATAGCTGAGTTTCCCTGCCAGTCAGTCAGAACTGAAGAAGTCCTTTGGATAAGGGACGAAACGTCTTCCAGTAGCTTCAACCAAGTCCAGTTGCCCTTTCATTTTTTACCTTCGTTGGATGACAAAGCAAGCTTTTTAATAGCAGGTGAATCCACACAACATGCGCGTCTCACTTCTCTCGCGAGTGCGCACGTCAAATATGACATCCAGACTTTTGTAAAAGAGAATATATAAAGTTGAATCTGTCACAGATCAACCAAAGTCCCTCAGACCTGTAGACCGTTAGCCTCCCTCGCTTTTAACTTGATGGTTTGATCTCTGTCATCGCCTTGTTATATGTTTATGGTCATCACACGCGACTGGTCAAATGCACACACGAGAGTGTGCGTGGCCGAGCAGTGTGGAGAGAAAATGCACAGGAGAACGAAGGAAAGAGAACAGGCAGAGCAGAGGCGGAGAAAAGCAGCAGGAAAGTACCATTAAATGCTGTAAAATATCGATATCTTCATGATTAAGGGACATGCTGGTGTTTATAAAAGAAAACAGACTACTAGCAGGGCTGCCCTTCAAATCGTCATATCACAACTACCTTTCCAGAGTTGATTCTATGGTTTAATAAAAAGTTTTCATGCCATGAATGAAAGCAGAAGATGCGTTTGTAGGGGAATAATCTGGAAAATAAAGACCTGTATACTCAATTCATATCTCCAGTTACTCAGAGCTACTGCAGAGCTTCATGATGATAAACATAAATCCAGTCAGAGCTCTGAGGAAATGCAGATGCAAAACAAACACTCCAAAAGTGCACAAAAATGATATAGGCCTATACATAACATTTTAATCCTATTGCCTTAAATGTGTGTGATTTTTTCACCTTTGCTCTTTGTTTCTATGCAGATAATTTTTCTACTTTTTTTTTTTACAGCATTTAGCCTGCTGCTTTTTTAAATAAATAGTATTTAATGATAGCTAATGATAATATTAGTACATTTTAGCACGCCAATTTAAGCGTGCCATTGTCAACTTTAATTGTATAAAGCGTAATTTCCCAACAACAAAAATGTAGCTAGTGAAAATGCTGCGTGGCTAGTGAAAAACCACTAGCCACATTGGCTAGTGAGTAAAAAAGTTAATGTCAAGCCCTGCTAATGGAACTAATGGAATAGTCACTAGTAACAAAAAATTAAGTACTAGTATGTAATCAATTGTTACTAGTAAAACAGGGATAGTTACTAGTAGCTAATAAATAAGTACTAGTAGTTTTTAAATAGCGACTAGTGCGTTTTACGGAATAAATGTTTAAATGGCTTTCTATAAAGGTTTAAGATAACAAATTGGGATGATACACCTCCTCTGCATTTCATTAGCCAGTGTACAGTAATATCATTAAACCGTCATATAGCCTAAGTTAACATTAAAGTTCAGCAGTTAAAATACCTTGCACAACATAGTATTTTAAATCATATCCTATATCAGCATATTCTGAATCACAGTCAACCATTCGTGAAATCTATGGAATTAGTCTTTGTGCTTTGTGGCCTTTTAACCGTGCACATCCAGATAATATTTTTCAATTAATTCTATGCATTATTGTTTCAACTTAAATATTTGACATGAACTGTTTATGTATTATGGTGGTTACCTTTTGTTTACAAAGTTGTGGGTGATTCTGATGTAATTTCTGTCCCGACAGATGGGATGAGTCCCACAGAGGTCTGCTGGCAGACCCTTCTGGCCATGTAGCCTATACCATGCACATGTATACCTAGCCTATATGTAATGCTGACTAATATATTTTCTTGCTTGCATATGGGACAAAAGATGCACACTGACCAAAATGAAAAATCGGTCATGTTTGGAGTGACTCATGTGATTGCTGTAGATGGATACAGCAAGAAAATTGGTGCAAAATACAAGTATGCCTGCAAAGAACAATCTAGCCATCTATGAAGAGGTGTACAGGTCAGTGTTGTATGTTATGTTTGATCGAACATATTTTATCAATTGTTATAATATTAATAATTGAGCGTTTCACATGTGTTTATGTAGACCTGCAGTAACACATTATGGAATGTGGGATCAACTTCGCGTGGATCATGGCAAAGAGTTTTACCTGTGCCTCTACATGCAGCAAAGACAGCCATACCTCCAAACACAGTCAACAAGGGTAATGTCAACCATCTGCATCTACATTACACCATTGGTGAAAAGTAACTAAGTAGGCTATATTAAGCCAAGTAATGCACTTAAGTACAAGTCTGAGGAACTTGTACTATACTTGAGCATATCCATGTCCTGCTACTTTATACTCCACTACATAATGAGTAATCTAATAATTTCAAATATATCAATAACCTGGGCCAATTGTCAAGAGTGGTTACAATCAGTACTTCAGATAATACTTATTCTAGGATTTTGATTCCATAACTTTTTCTTATGATGTTTTCAACATTGTGTGGTCTTGGGGATTTTACACAACAAGGTTATTCTTAGTCTATTCACTAGTTCCCAACTGTTAATAACATAGAAACACGTTGCTAACAAACCTCTATCATCTCCTTAAAAAACAAACACACACACACAGAATCACACAGTGGAAAGGATGTGGCCAGAAATTAACAACAGAGTGAATTATCCATTAAAGGAGGCCCTCATCCAGCTACAAGATCAGGAAGCAATAGATATGGAGGACAGTCTGACAAGGTTCTGCACATCCAATCTGACCTGCCAGATGTGCCAGATTGGCATAAACAGATTTGTGCAATCATGGAATGCTCACGGGATTCCAGGTATGTCACATTTCCCTTACAAGTTATTCAGTTTAAGTGTTTTATTATTGAACATCACAACAAACATTTCTTGTGTTGTTAAAGAGAGAGGGATACCAAATCACCTAGCAGGGACTGGAACACCAAGACAAATCACAACCGATCTTCTACCAGATGCCACAGTTGCAGCTGACATGTATCACAGGGACATGGGATCCTCCCTCACCAGAGTATCTTCATTCGGAAGTGTCCCCTTTCTGTCTGAGGCAGACAAAGTGAGAGCAGAGCAGCCCTTTGCACATTATTATCCCCACCTTTCAGTTATTTTTGACAGTGCTGTCAATTACAACTATGCTCCCTTCAAAGAGGCCTTGATCTACCTCATCGATGTAACAAACACTTGTTCCTAATTTCATATGCACTGGATTGTGAGGAGCCTTGTAACGGATCGCTGGACATCTGTGTCTGTGGACACCATTATGCAGTTACTACTCCAACAGTAGAGGGTGTAAGTATACCCTGATAGTATTTACCATACAAGTTTTACTTTATATGTGTATATAAGTGTCACTATAAAAATGTCAACTGCCTATTTTGTTACCATTAATAAATCCTTTTACTGTCATTGTACCCATATTAGCCATTATTCACAGGGTCGTTTTATGGAGAAGAAATATATTTATTTTGCGTTTGTACAGAAAGAATAATCAGACAAACAAAGTAAGTCCAGCTTTGCAAATCTCCACAGAAGAGCCTGTCACAACATATTGCCATGTTTAGGCCTACTAGCTCTTATAAAATCACTGTGGGCTGAGAACAATAATGTAGCATAAAAACATCTTGCCACATTTAGACCTACTAGCTCTTATAAAACTACTGTGAGGTGGGAACAATGATGTAACATAAAACATCGTTACATTTTCTAGCTCTTAAAACTCCAGAACTAAGATGCGACATAAAAAACATCAGTCCTCAATATCAAAAGTATTTATAACATGATATAACACTGACAAATAAGGATTGGTGGCAAGCAGAAAAGCAGCATTTACTCTTCGTGTGCCAGCTCTCTCATGACATTTACTACACCAGAAAGGCCAGTGACTCTGTGAATGTTGATGGAAAAATCATCCGCTTGACACTTCAAACACATTGAGGAATTCTGAAGCCACACAGTAGTGCAGGATCTGCATCCGACCAAACTTCCACAGCATGCTGCAAATACTGGATCTTCCATGATTCCTGCCAGTGTAAGAAATAAATATTAGAGGTCTGAAAACACAATACAAGATATACTAGATGAAGAATGAAAAATATTTTCCAATTGAATGTCAGACAGCGTTTCAAAAAAGCATCCTTTATGTAACTGAGTCTATGTATGGTATAAGTTCAGAGAGAATTAACAAATTCCTTTCTGTGTCTACAGATGCTCCAAGCACACCCTGTGCCACTTAACATCACGGATGTAAATTCCTGATGTACGCTTAAGGAATGGCTCTGTTTTTACAGACTGGTTTCCTTAATCTCAATTGGCTATACAAAGAACACCAGGAGCAGGACACTTGAGCTTTTAAATGACCACTACATCATAAATTCCACCAAACAACAACAATATGTTTGTCAGGGTGAATAGATTATTTTTTGTCTTCTTGAGGACAAGACTTACCTCTGTAAACCAGACAAGTGAATGTATCCCTAACATTTCTGGACTGTTCTTCGGTCAGTAAATGTTGTGTTCCTGTTTCGATGGAGCAGGTCAGAGAGTCCCTGAATGGGAGTTGTCACCTCAGACAACCCTGAGCAGCCAGGACAATTACCTCGATCTTCTCGAACACACTGTCCAGTCCACCCTCATCATCTCTGCATCTGTGAAAGAGAAACGTCACATGTATATATTAAATAATTAGAAACTGTTAATGTATGCACATGCCATTACATTCAGATTGATTATGGACACAGAAACGATTGCTTTTGTGCCAATCAAATATTGCATAAAGTGTCCATTGACTGAAACTGTCCAATTGTAGGAGATATAGTTGTATCAAAGGAAAGACTCAGATAAACATGGCAGTGTTTCTGGACAGACTGACGGAGAAATGTGCCATTAGGTACTTTCATGTATTCTCTTTGAATATGTTGTATCAGACCAGCTCTGCTCTTTAATTCAGGCCATGCTTAGCCTTTTACAGTGCCTGATGTCAGGAGGAAAAACTGAGGGGGTGTAACAGTAGCCAGTAGTGAGTAGCCTCACTCTTGAAGACGGACATGTGAATGTATATTCATTTAGTTTTTATCTGAAATGGCAAAGGTTTGACATTGTTTATGGTTCCAGTTTAAAATGTGAGACTTTATAAATGTTGACGTGACAATTAATAGCCCAATATATTTGCCACTTAGCTGTGAAGCAACTTAAAAGTTCATGCTACTGTCACAGTACATTTTCAAGACACAGGGTTACCTAAACTATAATTTGAGATGGTAAATAAAATTGTTCTAATGAAGCACCTCTTGTTCCTTCTGAGTCCAATATTTCCACTCCATTGTGGTCTGTCAGGATGAGTTGTTCATTGATTCCTAAGGCATCTTTTTCATAAAACATCTAAGGCTTCATGTAGCTCCTAACTGGCTGAGTTAAATGGTGATTAACACTAAACTTTAGAAAATCAGTCTATTCTCCCCACCTGCTTAGGTGTAATTTACACTGGGGAGGCTGGGAACATGTCCCCAACACTTTTTCTGTTGTTTATCCCAAAAAGCCATTTAAAGAAATATTCATTGATGAAAATATAGGATTGGGGGGTCTGTGGGTCCTCCCCCAGATGATTTTGAGCATTAAACACTTAATTTCCTGCATTCTGGAGATATTTTCCGCACCAATTTATGGTGGAAATGTCTTTATTTATATAAAGGGAAACACAAAATTCAGGTGGCAGGTGACGATTCCGAATATAAAAATATAATTGAATATAATGCAGTAATCAGTAAATAGTTTTCTTTTAGCTTAAGTAATTTTTTTTGACAATGCAGATGTGTTTTCTCTATATATTTACGTCACATTGGGGCGGCTGTTTTCAGTGGGAAGAGCTGGTGGGCCGTTAATCGAAAGGTCGGCGGTTCAATCCCCGGCTCCCCCAGGCTTCATGTCGAAGTCTCCTTGGCGCCTGTTCCGCCATTGTGTGAATGTTAGTTTCTGTTTGAGCACCTAGGCTCAGTGTGTGGATGTAGTGTAAACGTAATAATAAAATATCTTCTAGTCTTGTTCTTGTGACCCCAATATTCTGGATTGTAACGTAGCCTATCATATGCTGTGTTTTGTGTTTTGTCACAACTCTAAGCTTCATTACTGAAGCCTATTGTCTTTAACGCTACTGACGAACAACATTGTAAACAAGAAAACGTTGTAGAGATTTAACTCACAGACTGGCTGTCAGACTAGTCTGGCCTGTCGTTAATTATCCACTCAACCAAAGGCAGCGATCACAAAGCAAGCTTTTTTAATAGCAGGTGAATCCACACAACTTGCGCGTCTCACTCTCTCACTTCTCTCGCGAGTGCGCACGTCAAATAGAAAATTACATCCAGACTTTCATAAAAGAAAATATATAAAGTCGAATGAAACTGCACTCAGACCTGTAGACTGTTAGCCTCCCGGTCGCTTTTAATTTGATGTTTTGATCTCTGTCGTCACCTTCTTATATACAGTTTATGGTCATCACACGCGACTGGTCGCATGCACACGCACATCAACACAGTGTTCAGTCAGTGCGTGGCAGAGGAGTGTGGAGAGAAAATGCACAGGAGAACGAAGGAAAGAGAACAGGCAGAGCAGAGGCGGAGAAAAGCAGCAGGAAAGTACCATTAAATGCTGTAAAATATCGATATCTTCATGATTAAGGGACATGCTGGTGTTTATAAAAGAAAACAGACTACTAGCAGGGCTGCCCTTCAAATCGTCATATCACAACTACCTTTCCAGAGTTGATTCTATGGTTTAATAAAAAGTTTTCATGCCATGAATGAAAGCAGAAGATGCGTTTGTAGGGGAATAATCTGGAAAATAAAGACCTGTATACTCAATTCATATCTCCAGTTACTCAGAGCTTCATGATGATAAACATAAATCCAGTCAGAGCTCTGAGGAAATGCAGATGCAAAACAAACACTCCAAAAGTGCACAAAAATGATATAGGCCTATACATAACATTTTAATCCTATTGCCTTAATTGTGTGTGATTTTTTCACCTTTGCTCTTTGTTTCTAATGCAGATAATTTTTCTACTCTGTTTTACAGTATTTAACCTGCTGCTTTTATAAATAAATAGCATTTAAACAATGTTTCTGGTGAATTTTGTTTTTAGTTTAGTTTTTACCTTTTCAGTTAATCTTTTACACCCATGCAGCACTTTTATTATATACAATAAGAAGCTGCTATTTTAATGTGTTTATCTTAATAGACTATTTTTTCAACAAAAGGGAGTTTTACACACAACCTTATCGGAGCTAATGATAATATTAGTACATTTTAGCACGCCAATTTAAGCATGCTATTGTCAACTTTAATTGTATAAAGCGTAATTTCCCAACAACAATGCTGCGTGGCTAGTGACTATGATGAAGCACTAGCCACTCTGGCTAGTGAGTAAAAAAGTTAATGTCATTACAATGACAATGAGGTTTGATTGTATTCATGTTGTGTAGATTGTTGGATTAGTTGTCATTTATTTACCCTTGTGGTAGTCCGTCTACCATTGTTGGTATTTGATAATCATTATGTACCCTTGTGGTATTTCGTCTACCATTGTTGGTATTTGATAAGCATTGTTACCTGTGGAAATATTTGTATATTATTAGTATGTATGGTATGAATGTGTGGTTTTGACTTGTGCATCCACTGTTTCTAAATGAGGTATTATTATTATTATTATTATTATTAATTTATTTATTTATTTTAATTATTAATATTTTTTCTTTGAGATTATTGATGAAGGAAGCAGCTATTTTTTGTATGTATAAATTCTTTGATAGACTGGGGTGGGGTTTAATAAGTTTTACTTCTTCCCACTCCATTTCAAGCATAAGTGTATAAGTTATTATTATTGTGTATCTTTTCTGTTGTCACACTATTTTGCTTGAAATAAATAAATAAATAAATGTCAAGCCCTGAGTGTATACATAGCATAAATGTTGAAACATCCACCAGGACTTGTGCAATAAGTCAGATCCTATTTTAGGATCAACCAGGAAGGTGTTTAAATGAAATTCCTTCCACGCCTTAGTTTGACACACCTACTTAGGGGGCTGATTCAGCTTGTGCTCCTTTATTAAATGAAGAACTACAGCCTCTCGTCATAAGGTCACCAAAGTCACATCAAGCAGACTTCGAGCAAGGAAATGGCTTTCGGATGGTTGTTGAAGGGTCAGATGTTGGTGAGGACCCTCTCTCTCATCCTCACGGGTATGCTCCTTTATTTTATCCTTCAGCAAACTCTCTCTCCTTTTGACAGGCAGTCATCATCTGATCACACAATACCACTGCAGTTCTCTATTGACCTGCCTGGCTGCTCGGCTATCATCAGTGGGGATGTAGAGAGCAAGGAGAACGAATTGGAAGTGCTTCTGGCATCCAGGAAAAGACACAATTTTCTATCTGAGGACTTCTACCTCAATGTGACAAAAGACTGCCAAGCTTACATTGAAAAGAGAGGTTTCATGACAGTGCCGCTCAGTGAAGAGGAGAGGGATTTTCCCATTGCCTACTCCATGGTGATTCATGAGAAGATTGAGATGTTTGAGCGACTTCTACGAGCTATTTACACTCCTCAGAACATCTACTGTGTGCATGTGGACCAGAAATCCTCCAAAGAATTTCAGAAGGCTGTGGAGGCAATTATCTCCTGCTTTCCTAATGTGTTTGTAGCCAGTAAATTAGAAAATGTGGTATATGCCTCATGGTCCAGAGTGCAGGCAGATTTGAACTGCATGAAAGATCTGCTGAGCTCACATGTCCAGTGGAGGTACCTGCTCAACACCTGCGGGACAGACTTTCCCATCAAAACCAATGGAGAGATGGTTCAGGCTCTGAAGGCCCTCAATGGGAGAAACAGCATGGAGTCTGAGGTCACCAATGACTACAAGAAAGGCCGCTGGCAGTATCATCACAATGTCTCTAACACAGTCATCAGGACAAGTGAGAGGAAAAGTCCTCCACCCATTAGCAGCCCCATGTTCCAAGGAAATGCTTACTTTGTGGTCACAAGAGCCTTTGTAAAACATGTCATGCAGGACAGAGAGATTCAGACATTTCTGGAGTGGGAGAAGGACACATACAGCCCAGATGAGCACTTGTGGGCCACACTAACGAGGATGCCTTCTGTTCCCGGATCAGTGCCTGCCAACATTAAGTATGACATGTCAGACATGAATGCCATTGCTCGTTTGGTAAAGTGGAGCTATTTAGCAGGAGAAATGAAAAATGGAGCCCCGTACTATCCTTGCACTGGGGCTTACAGAAGAGCTGTTTGCGTGTACGGTGCTGGCGACCTCCAGTGGCTCCTCACACAACACCACCTCTTTGCAAATAAGTTTGATCCCGAGGTTGATGACACTGCTATTAGATGTTTGGAGTCAGTTCTGCGTTTCAAGGCTTTAGGTAAAAGCCAGTTATTAACAGATTAATATGCCACCATTTTGTAAAGCTTCTAATCATTTGAAATGTAAAATAATATTATAGAAACCATATTAATTTATTAAAAAAATTAGGGATCTTCTGATGAAATGTATTGAAATATTCTATTGCTATTAAGTCATTTCTGAAATATGATCCATATTGTATTTTTTTTAAATTATGTGGCTGTTAATCTTATGTCAAGATATTGTTATAGATCTTGTCATGACTTAATTAATATCTGCTGCTAATAATCCCTCGTTTTAATATTATTGCGAAGGTATTGATGGGGAACTTATGCCATGTCTTTTTTATTTTTATTTTTTATGATTTCAATGACATGTGTTTGTGGTGCCATCTAGTGGATTCTAAGTGGAAGAGATCTGCAAAGCTGAGGAAAAAAAATGTTGGTTATTTGAATCTTAACATACTCTTCATTTGGTCACTGTACAGTTTCAGTGCTAACATAAACCTCTGTCTTGTAACAACTGCAAAACAGGACCGGATGGAATAAAAAAAATATAAAAAAATTGTTGCTGTCACCATGTTCTCCCTCCTCAAGTCAGAGGGCACATTCAGGTGAGGGGCAAAAAATAAAACTTTATTTTCCCCAGGCAGGATTTTAACAGAGAACGCCAGCAGTGAACAGTGAAAAAGGTGCTGTCAGAACTTGTTCTACGAAATGCCACTCAGACACCTAAAATGCAGTCTAAAATCAGAGCAACCATAAAAATATATTAATTTCTCTCCATTGTCACCTTTTGAATAAATATATATATTTAAATGTAATAAAGCAGAACATGCATCAACCATTTGTAACAGAGTGCCTTAAATAACGTGTAGATACAACAGTAACTAGGGAACACCAATAAGCTAAGTGTGACATGATATACCGGTAGTAAATAACTAAAAAAGATTAAAAAGTTTCAGACAGAATGTGGAAAAATGCAGAGGATTGAGCTGTAAAAAGTTCCACAATGTAACAGGCAGCATAGTTTCAAAAAAGGCACTCTCCTGATGCAAAGAGCCAAGTCTCCAGTCACGTTGCCCAGAGCATATACATTAGATTGTTGTGCTCCTCCTCCACATCTTGCAGTGCGAGCAGGGTCACTCCGGTATGGCAGCAGTTGCGATCTCCACTTTACCGTGCATGTCCTTGTCGATTCTGCAGACAGATTCAATAGTCATCAGACATCCATGTGACTGGGATGGTGTGTCATCTAAAAGGGCCAACACACTGTCCATAAACACGCTTTTCATTTGATCACATCCTGAAATGTGAAAGTACCATCACACCACTGCAAAGTAAATTCTTTGCCAGAAGAAAATCATTTTTACTTACCAAACCAATCTCCACCATACAAATTAATACCTAATTTGGTCTGTTATAATTCACACTAAAATATTAAGTACTTAAAATATTTGTGTGACACAAACCATCAGTATCTGCTGTATAATGGAGGTTCTTACTTACTTATAAGACAAATGCACTAATGTGTGCTTCTATATGCAGCACACCCTGCATAAAGGTATAGACGTATACAATAAATACTCATATACAGTATGTGCAATCTTTGAATTTTATCCAAGCCTTGAGTAATCTATTACAATCCGTAGCCATGTTACCAGTGCATAAATGTGCAATTTTTGTTGATACTGTCAGAAAGATGGCGATGTGTGAGGGTTTGAGTGCATTTGTCTTGCAAGTTTGTCAGTCATGTCTGCTCTGCTTTTCTGTAGCTAAATGCCAGTGACAGGAACAGAATTCACTGTGGTAACTGATCAGGTGCCAAGCGCCCTCTCCCCAGTGCCCTGCTGCACTGAAGCCCTCTGTGGAGCTGGCATGGCCTGGCTTGGCCTGGCAGCCACGGGCCCTGCTTTGTATCTCTGCCCCGTCTACTCAAGCTGTCTCCAAATCAGACTCGACTACTGTCAGCTGCCCGTCTTCGCAAGCCCAAGTAACGCATTAAGACAGGGGTAATAGGTGGCTGAATGAGTTGTAAAGAGAAGAAAGCAAACAAGTTGATTTGATGTAAATCATCATCTTCCAAATGATCAGAAGGAAACAGTGGCAGAGTAATTTAAACAGTGTTGTAACAAGCTCAAAAAGAATCTGACATTAATGATAGATTAAAGGTTTTATTATGGGGACATGAATATGGTTTTAAAAATACCACAGCAATGAATTAGTGGCGTCACGATACAGGCAGGCATAGTTGGTAGATATTGTGAACCAGGCCAACAATAAAATAAACTATATGGGTTACAGAATTAAACCAGGTTGTGGCATTTGCAGTAATTGTATGGCTTCCTATTTTAGGATGAACAGACTGCTGTGATTCACTAAACATATAGCTGTTATGTATTTCATCACTATCTACATGTTAAGCCATCTGTCCCAAAATACATTGTGATGATTAATATTCCATGTCTGGAAAAGGAACCATAGCCTTCAAGGCTTTATAGCCTCAATAAGCTAATAAGCTGTTTATTTGTGCTATCACAAAATATACTCAACTGTCTCAGATAGCCTATATAACGTTAACATTGCTACTACTGTATGATCCTACATCACAAAGGTCTGTGACTATGCATACAGATTCAAGACCACATCCATGTTTACAGCATGTAACTCTTGAGACTCCGGCTAACGTCTCATCCCAAACCGTTGAGGAGATTTGTGGCCTCGATGCATTTGCCTTCGACCTAAAATAATTTTTTAAAAAAGGTATTCACACGGAACCTGAAGTTGAATGCATCGAGGCACGTACTCGCATAAAGGCAGGTGCACCTGTCTGCAGTGGTAGCCTATTGTTTCCTCTATCTAATGAGCCATGAATCGGCCTGTCGCGATGTGTGTGTGAAAAATGAAAACATGTCTGTCTCTTACCGTTCTGTTTTCAGTCATTACTCCCCATCCTAAGGTTTCCAGTCCAGACCTCTGACGAACCGTTCATTCCTATCAGGCTGTCTCACTCTCTCCCTCTCTCTTTCGCTCATCCCCATGTCATATTTCTCTGCTGCAGCAGAACAAGGCCACGCCCCCTCTGACAGCCGCTGCCGCGTGACGTCAGCCGCTGAGGAGGGTTGTGCTCCTCACGCCCTCGCATGCACATCCAGGAAGCAGCCGCGAGAGGCCGCTATTCCTTCACAAAAACAAAACGTCTGAGGCACAAATGGCGTCCGGTGTCTTAGGACATGATAATATAAATGACACTATTAATAAACTGTAAAGAAAGTAAATGCTCGCGTTTAGTGTATCACGGAGTTTATAAACCACAATGAATGGTAAGACTGTCACATTTAAAGCTAGGGTAGGCAATTTTTTAATTAAAAATATGTTATTATTTTATTATTTAAATACGTTATATTTGTTTATATTCTGTTTACATCCTGTCAACAATCAATAAATGAAATGCTTCCACACAACAATGAAAAAAAGTCTGGTGTCTGTGTCTGTCAATCAGGCCTACCTTCCTGCACTCATTGCAACTGAAACTGTGTTTTGGAGGAGGCTTTGCAAGGAGAGCTGCAGGGAAGGAGTGGGATTGTTTTTTTTTTTGGGTTGCATGCTTTGCGGTCTAGCTGTGTCTTCTTGAGTTTCTCCCACATTGTTGACCTTAGCCATAGCTAGTTAGCAATTGAACATTATGCAACAAGCAATTAATCCTCAAAAAAGGAGCCTATAAAACAAGCAAAATTAGCTTTTAATTTGTGCTTTCCCAAGCCATAAAAAACCCTAAATTTATCTGTAAACCACTAATTCTTTTTTTATGCCTTTTAGCTGAACTAGCTGTAACTTTAACTAACCTAGCATTAGCTAAATCTCTAATGTTACTGTTGAATGAATCCTGGAACCTGTGGATTAAAATACAAATTATAGGCCAGATAGTGAACACTCATTTTTGTTTTTCATTTGTAGAAATTAGATCACTTCCTAAATAGACTATTCAACAAAGTTTAATATGCAACATTACAGCCATATACTTTTTAAGTAACCTTAATAATAGCTAATTGCAGTGTCTTTATCAGGTTACATTTATAGCTGGGGCTTTTACCATGAGGATACAATCCAAAAGAAGTTGCACCAAAAGTAGTTTACAAAGAGACACACCCATTTCCATTCAAATGTTTTGGTGGGGGGTGCATGGTGTGATGGTTTATTTAGCTTATCCAATGAAAATTATCTATCTATCTATCTATCTTCACACACTATCTATCGTCACAAAGACTGGGCTCTTCTCTCGGGAACATTTAGGCTACTAAATGCGCACCACAGTCCACGCTCATTGTCCAGCGCTTCATTTGAACGAACTGGTCCAGCAAGTTATTTCTGGGCTGGTGTCACAGAGCCCCATCGATCTGCCAGCGTACCTGCTGCACGGACACTGCGTCTTAGGAAGCAGTCCGAGGTGTTGGCTTTTTTTTTTGTCACTTCCAGTGAAAGTACTCGGACGCGGCCATGAGGTCCTTCGCCGCGTTTCTGACCTTTCTCTGCTGTGTCGGATTTACTGGATGTAAACCTTCGTTGCCCTGTCCGAGTGGACAGTTTCTGCTGAAGAATCAGTGTGTCCTCTGTCATCCCACCTGCTCTGAGTGCGACGGGCATGAGCTGTTTGAATGCACTACCTGTGGAGTTGGTGAGTATATTTCCCTATACACTTACTTTTAACAGCATAAAATCACTGAGGGCTTTCTGAAAGTAAAACGGCGAAAATATGTATTATGGGGGTTTAAAAAGTCATGTTTTGTAGGCTGTAGTTTTAACAAATAAATCATCAAACAATGACTTCATCGAAGTTAAACAATGTCCTTGCCTTCATATGACAAATTTCACCTACATTTTTCATAACTTCTGTATGAGATGTGCAAATATGAACATCTTCCATTGGCCGATATAATTCCTCTGTTCTGATTTTTGTTTTCCCCAGCTCCACAGATACCTTATTAAAACAAAGCCATGTCACAGACTCATTAATCCAGTTTAAAGGGAGGTGGAGCTTTATTTCAACGCAGCACTGTTTAATAGTTACTAAAGCAAAGCTGTTTAAAGGCCTTTGAATTAGAGGAGGAGCATGCAGCTCTGGTTTACCATTTACTCTTGTTAAACAATCACAGAGTGGCTGTAGAGCTTGCATTTTCTGTCACAGGGGCGCCTTTTGAAATAGGTAAGAAATGAAGGTGTGATCACGAGTTTTCACTGTAATCTGATCATGTCAGAATGGGGCCTTTGTTAATCAGAGGCAAAGGAAAAAAGTATCCCTTTGGGCTAGAAGTATTACTGTTTCAGTTCATTGGCTAAACCTGCAAGTCTTTCTCTCTTTTACTCAATGAATATATTCATTTTGACATTTCTACAATCATGCATTTGCTTTTTACTGACTGTATTTTAATATTCAATGCTGCAGATATGTTTTGTTGTGCAGACTTTAGTAGTATACAGTAGTTAGCATTTGATCCTGGTGTGTATATCTGTGTGGCATCTGTGTATTCCTTTGTGGAAGAACATCAAAAGCCAAAAATCTGTACCCCATTCCTCAAACACTGCGGTTTGTTGTCACATAGAAGCCACATTGCTCTGTGCATGCTGAGGTTCAGGGAAGTGAGAAAGGCAGCAGCAGCTTGTGGCCCCTCTTCTCCCTGTCTCACACATCTTCTTTGTAGAGCTGAGCAGAAGAGACAATGCTGTAACTCAGAGATGCCTCAGGTGCCACAGCTAGGCTAGTGGCAGGTGGCAGAGTATTAATCATTAGGGCCAACAGAAGACTCCGTCTCTGCCCACAGCTTTGATCTCTCATCTGCCTCAGATTGCCATTGTTTACATTATATTGGCGCATCATCAGGAAGTGATCTCACACTGTGATCTGTTATTTGCAGGCCTACAGTCAGACAACAGACAAAATGCTGGGCTGGAGCCATTAGTTCTTCGGTTTCCTAATAATTGCCAGTGATTCACTCGTTAAGCCAGATGGCATCTCTCTCCTTTCAGTCAAACAATCTTGATTTCGCTATATGTGTTAATGCTGTAATTTGCTGAAGGCAACTTTCACACAGTTGGCAGCCCGTCCTTTCATCTTTCCTTCATTCCATGTAATTGTTGGGGCCCATTTGGCTCTGCCTCTGTTTATTATGAGAAGCTCATTGATTTTCACTTTCAGAAGAGTCCAGATTTTGGGAAAAGGCGTTTCCTGGTAGAGGAGAAAAATAGATTAGGCTTTATGTTAACAAGTCCTCTGTGTCTTCCTCCTCCTTCTCCTCAGATGAAGATGGACAGGAACGGTTCCTCCACCAAGGTCGCTGTAGGACACACTGCGCCCGGGGACTGTATCCTGACAGAGGTCATTATGCCTGTCTGCCCTGCATAGCCAATTGTGAACTCTGCACAGACGGCAACATATGTGCCAAATGTCAGGAACACTACAAACTCCAGAATGGGATCTGCCAAACGGCATCCTGTGACATAGGTAAATGTAAATCAGAGCTTCAGAGTTTCCTGTAGATTAAGAGTATGACATTCAGGCTTGTTATGCTGGGTCTCTGTGTTTCAGGCCAGGTGCAGGACCCTGATACAGGAGAGTGCATTGACTGTGAGATGGGCTGCAAAACATGTTCCGTGGGTAAGTTACACAGGCTTGCCAGGCTAGGCTGACAACACCATACTGTCCCCCCCCCCCAATGTAAGGTGGGTCTGCGATGTACATATCTAAACACTGGTGATAACAGTGCACAGAGCAGCACAATATAAAGATAGCCAGTAGCCTACTGCATGAGTTTGCTCCTCCACATGAATTCTAATTAATCACCTTTTCTCGTTTCTCATTTCTCAAGACTCTGATATCTGCAACAGCTGCGCTGAAGGTTACTTTCTGTGAGTTTTTTTTGTCGTTTTATTATTATCCAGTGATAAGTGGACTTTTCTGGCTCCCCATATCCTCTGCTGTTGGATCAAATGCGTTCTAAGATGTTATTTTAGAGAGCTAACATTTAATACAACTAGCAGTTATTTTCGATTCAATATAACAGTTCTCGTTTAAAGCTGCAGTAAGCAACACCGTGACGAAAATCATGATATAGAGCGTTACAGCGACACAGCAAGTAAAGCACTTAACGATAGCCAAGTTGCAGGTTAGCGTACTGTTACTACAGTTGCTGCTGTGAAGCTAAAATGACGCTAACATGCAGAGAGGACAAGGCGGACCCAGAGCCAGCATCCCAGATCCAAAAAGCTATGCTCACAACTCTCCTGCAACTATAGTTAACATCACAACAACAGCATGTCTTGGCAAACTAGAAAGTAGGCTGAATGTCTGTGGGAAAGTCATTTAACATTACCCAACACACACATCATGGCTGGAACGGCTGGAATAGTGTTATGTGCTCGGTCCGAGCCACTTCGTTTGTTTCCCCAATTGACCCTTCGCTAAGCCCCGCCCCCCTTAGTTACTGTTGCTAAGTCCGACAAACTGTCAGCGCTGCCACTGTCTGTTACTGCACTCCCCAGAGAAATATTGTCAGATTGGTTGGAAAAAGTGATCTCAAAATGAAGCAGACACATTTGAAGGTTGTATTCAGGCTGTCAGACTGACACAAACTGATTTAAACGGACATGAAAAAAATGAAAGATAGAAGCTAAAGCTTACCGATTACACAGTACAAGTGACCACCGCATGCTCCGACGATTGAAACAAAATACAACGATATCAAGGATCAACACTGTTCCTGTAAAGCTGGGTAGGCCTCTATTCACGAATCATTCAAAAACAGAACAGTAGGGCTTTATTACATTACATTTAGAAGGAAGTTAGCTAGCATTAGCTAACATTACATTAGGAACAATTGACAGAGTATGACAACAAACAACATTTTTCTGGATTTATTTTAGGTTTTGGAAAGAGAATAAATTGTACTTCTTCTTTCGAAGCCCCAAGTGTTTTTATTTGCATTGCCATTGCCTTGCTAGATAAAAAAAGTTGGTCAATCAAAATGTAGTGTAATATGCATTTCCATATATTGGCTTGAAGAACATGGTTAATAATTCTTCACGCCACAAGAAACTTCATTTCACCTGTATTTCTGTTTACACCAGCATATCACTTGGAGGTTACATTCAAAGCTAGAACAGATCTGCAATTGTCCCCCCCCCCCCCCAAGTTTAGGCCTCCAAATATTGTGTGAGTCGGGTTACCCTCCATTCAGAGTCTTACACTGTTACCTGAGCCCTGGTTTGAGCACAGAAGAGTGGTCTGCTTCACAGAGGGTGTGTAACGTGTGAGTAGGAGAGGAGAAAAAAGACGGCAAGTATAAGTGGAAAGCATAGCCATTAGCAGGTGGGATTATATAGGGTGCACCATCTTGACTTCACTGACTGCTCCTGTGTTACAGCAGGACGGTTGAAGGAAAATGCACTTGCTTCACTGCACTCACCTCCTTTTTACTGCTCTTACAGAGGTGCAGTGAGATACTTCTTCCATGAATCTTCTTGTGTAACTTTTACTTTAATAGTAATGGCTTTAGAGATTTAGAATGACAGGTCTCTTCAGTCCTGTCTGTGGCCGCAGTACCTTATTATCTACTATAGGAGGAAAACACCAATAAAAGAAACCCAATAGAGCACGGGGCAATCATGACCTGCAGGAAGAGTCTCACTGTGATATAGTGTGACAGTTTCCAGCACTTCAAGAAATTCCACTACTGAGGTTTGGCTAGAAGTAATAAATGTTAAACCCTAGACAGCTTTAGCGTAGCTGTGAGTCTGTGGGGCCAGTGTTGTTCTTGCATAAAACGCTGCCTACTGAAAAGAGTCACAGCATGATGGATGCTTGGTATTTATTGACATTTACCTTCCTCTCTAAGTGCAGCTAAACCACAAAATTGCTATGATTCACTCTCGATGTGGTTTAAACCATTTATTTAGTCATATTTTCACCTTTTCCTAACTAATTCAAAGAGCAGAAGCCCTAAACAAAAGTTACTTTGGAAATGCTGATGTGCCGTCCTGGAATGGATAGGCTAATATTTGCACAGAGGGATTCTTAAACATCCTGTAGATTCTTAAGTAGTGCACTGTTTCCAGGCCAGAAACGGAGACCTGGTCCGCACTAGCTGCTATTGTGAGTGAGTTGATGGATGCGTTGTGGCGCCTCCAGCTGTTCCTTCTCAAACAACCACCGCATCTTAGCACCAAATCCATGGCAACACAGTCAGGAGTGCAGCTTGGGCTGTCAGTGGTCAGATTCTCTCATGAATGGAGGTGGTGTAAGAGGCATCAGAGGATGTTGTACTGTCTAGGGGAGTGGCTTATTTCTTCTTTTTTTCTTGTTTAATTTAGAGTAGTTGGTTTAATGTTGTATGTGTGACATTTTTGCAACTCAATATGTCAACTGCTTTTAGGCTATTTTTTTTAGGACAGCCGTCTCATGTTTAATAGCACAGTTAAGCCCCGAAGGACTGATAGGACAGGTTAATGACCCAGCCTCCAGGCTACAAATAAAACACCAATTAACTGTCTGCCTTAAGAAGAGAGAGCCACAATAAGCTTGAATCCTAACTTTTGGCTTGTAGATGTAAATGCTCCGTACTTGTATAGCGCCTTTCTAGTCTTTTCGACCACTCAAAGCGCTTTTACACTACATCTGCATTCACCAGTCATACACTGAGCCTAAGTGCTCAAACGGAAACTAACATTCACACTCATACACTGGCGGAACAGCCGCCAGGGGCAATTCGGGGTTCAGTATCTTGCCCAAGGACACTTTGACACACAACCAGGGATTGAACTGCCGACCTTCCGATTAACAGCCAACCCGCTCTACCTCCTGAGCCACAGCCGCCCAGAGGAGTTAACAATACAGCTGCAGGTGTGGTGTGTATGTTGGGATTACCTCTTGCATGTGGTGTGTTTTGTCTTTTCTCTAGTTTCAGTTCGTCTAGCCTCAGACTCATGACTCATCTGTGTGGGCAAAGGTCATTCACTGTAAAGCTTTGAAAGTGCTATTAAATCCCAAACGTTTTCATCAGGTCTTTCATATTTCAATAGCTTTGTTCTAGTTGTTTGCGTTAGAAAAAAAGAGCTTACTTTTGTGTAACAGCTGCAGCAGCCAGTGTTAATCGACCACGTATTGACCGATTTTCAAATGCACAGACCAAGCTTAGTTTTAGGCAAATAGTTTGTTAATTGTTATATGTAGAGTATCGATAGATACTTTGAATGGGATTTGATTTTAGTTTTGAATGGACCTTTTCTTTTACAGTTTCAGACACCAGTGTCGCAGGCATTGCCCACAGAGCACCTATGAAGACTTGGGCAGGGGTGTGTGTCTCTCCTGTCCAGCACCATGCACAGATTGCAGGAGTAACACACTCTGCCTTGCCTGCCAGCCCGGTTACTTCCTCAATGGTACCAGTAGGAAAGAATGATAATTTCTGTGTATATTTATTCTCTACTACTAGCATACTAAATGATTCAGATGACCCTTTTGTCCCATGCAGTACTAGCAGAGTTTGCGTTTTAATATACTCTTAGATTTTTCTTTACCAAGAATGATTGATTTCTCTGACTCTTCATTTAGATTGCAAATCACGTCCTTGTCAGCAAACCTGTAACATGAGATATGCAAATGTATGTTTTATGAAAAGAGGCTAAAGCTTTGTTAATAAAGGCTGTAGGTATTAAAATAAACTTAGCAAGAACAACAGACCATCAAAATTATTTTAACATATTAAAAACATTAGCTGTCATTTATATTTGTGTACACGTGTACGCGTGTTGTTACATATTTCACGGGCATATGATTGTACATTGTGTCAGACAGGATCCATCATGGACAATCAGCAGCTTATTCTCTCTGCTTCAGCCACAAGGTCCTGTATCAAAAGATCTAGGTCATTGTTTTATGCCTGGGCAGTTGGATGGAATTTGGAGAGGGAGAGATGCTGGAAGAGCAGACAGAGGTGAAGGATTTAAATAGTTGAGATGAGCCGATCTTTTTTGAGACCACATCAGAGCCACTTAAAAAAAAAACCTGACAACTGATAATGAAAACGTGGTTACTAATTAATATGACTTTTTAGAGTTGCTCTCTTAAAAATAGTTTCAGTAACTGATGGTGATTGTGATTGTAATCCTGCAAAAGATTTCAAAGGCTTTCAGTGAAATAGTACACAGGTTAAAAAGATAGAGGTTGTAAATAAATATTATCTACTAACTTGTCACGCCTAGGTTTTTCAAGTTTGCTAATACAGATAAAGTTTTGTACTGGAAAATAATGTAACTTCCTCTCTGTACTGCTCTGCCCCATCAGGAGGTGATTGTGTTAAACAGTGCCCACAGCAAACCTTCAGTGACTCCAGTGGGTGGCGATGTCAGACCTGCCACAGCTCATGCCAGACATGCCACGGACCTCATTCAACAGACTGTGATGTTTGTCTTGGTGGAAACCCTCCTCTACATGGCCAGTGCCCTCTGCTCAACTGCCCACTGGGACAGTACTTTGATGGTAAGAGGAACAATCATGATGAGGTGTAATGTTTTTAGCTGTTAATAATTTTTCTCCCTTTTTAGAGAAAAGTAACTTTATATGGTGGTGAGGCCTATGTGATTTACTGCATTTCAGTAAAAAATAAACAGTAAAACAAAGTGAGTAAAGTACTCAATGGCAAATTAGTATCAGCTGACAATAGAGACGGGGATCATACTGAACAACATGATACTTGATTCCCTGATGGAAATAATTGCTTTTCTCCAATGCAAGGTCAGAGCAGAGTGTCCCTGGAATTTTGAGGGATTCACTGTCTTGTTCAAGGACACTTAAGCATGGTAGAGGCTTGCCACTGAGACAGCGGCTTGAACCCTGCTGAAGGACCTCTAGGTTGAAGGACGGTCTCCTACTCACTGTGTAACCTTTCATTGAAGAGCCATTTTAATGGTGCAATTTCAAAAGGGGGCTGTGTCAACAGCGTTGGAACACAGAACTGTATTGTTATAAATCATATGGGCTAATCGGACTGATCATTTACTTTTCTGCTTCACTGATTTAATCATTTACACGCTTGTGTGGATAAGTTGGGTGGATGTTCATTGTCAGAAGCACTTGTCATTTAGCCACGTTTTTTTCTAAACCACCTGCTGCTTACACTGTGAGTAAAAAGAACAATTTTAAGTTCATTTTGTAACCTCAAAGCATTGCGCTAATAATAAGAATAATGGAGTTTAACATTGGCAGTGCTGTGCATGTTATATGCCAGGAACAGGCAGCTTTTGAACATAAATGGTTTACTTGCCATGATTATAACTCACTGACCTCTCCAATCTTTCATGTCAGCAGTAAGCCCTTCTAAATGTAGCATGTCAATATTTTTGTGTAAACCATCATGACACATTTTTCACATTTTGTTATAGTGTAAGGTTGCTCTGTTTATTGTTTTATTTATAGGTAAATATGGTGAATGTCACACCTGTGATTCATCCTGTAAGACCTGCTTTGGCCCCCAAGCACTGGATTGTTCTTCATGTTTCAAAGGTACAAATATTTACTTTCTTCTGTCAATATAGTAGAAACATGATTCAAATTCCTATTGTGCCGTGTACATTTTGGTGTCACAGGATACTTCCTGGACCAGGACGGTTCTTGTGTAGTGAAATGTACATCTGGCTCCTACGCAAACTCTGCCACTCAGTTGTGTGAGGACTGCTCGCCAAACTGTGACACCTGCGTGGACACGAGTGATAACTGCATCAGCTGTTCAAAAAGCAGCTATAAACTTTTTCTCCACCAGGGGCGGTGTTGGTCGAATTGCCCAGAGTAAGTGATTGAACGAAAAAATATCTGTAATTACTGTGTTGTGTTTCATATTTTATGCCTTAACAAATCTCCTGACTGATTCCAGAGGTTTCTTTGAGACAGCAGAGGGGTCATGTGAAGCCTGTGATAGCTCCTGTCTGACATGTGATGGCACCAAGTCTCAGTGTCTATCCTGTGCTAATGGCCACTACCTAGAGAGTGGTATGTGTAGACTCAACTGTTCACTGCGGACATACCCTGCAGATGATGGTACCTGCAGACGCTGCCCTCCCCACTGTGATGTTTGCTCAGATGACAGCACCTGTTTCAGTAAGTTATTAATAGTGTGTGCAGCTAAGCTTTAAGAGGAAAAATATTCCAAGTGGGTGACATTTTTATAATGTATTGTAAGACATCTTGAAATCTCTTGTTAGAACTTTACCACCCCTCCTCCGTATAATTTCAGAATGCAGTTTCCTCTACCTGATGCTGAATGGTGTGTGTAAAGCTAGTTGTCCCATGGGCTATTATGAGGACATGGAAGAGGGCCGTTGTGGTCAGTGCCACCCTACCTGTGGCAGCTGTTCAGGGCCCCTGGAAGATGACTGCGAGACCTGCTCAATGTTTAGCCCCAAACTCTACAAGGGTGCATGCTCCAAAGACTGCCCCACTGGTACTTACTATGAAACTGAAGCTATGGAATGTCAAGGTGAGAATCTCAATACATAGATGTGACTTGATTAGATTTTTAAGCGGTGTTGTATATGCGAGGTAACAGTTTTCTGGCACTGTCCTTTTTAAATAGTTAATCAGTTCCCATTGTTTATGTACAGGGGTATGTCACCTAGGGAAACTTTATTTAAAATAGTCCATGTTTCACCTTTATAAGACGTAGAAAGTGGCCTTCATGGCTCCTAACACAATGAAAATAATGCAAAAGAAGCCATCAAGATGAGGGATTGTGGCTACAATTTGGCCCATGGATAGTGCTGGAAAGATGCTGATGGGTAAACGGGTAAACTAGTCAAATACATAAACTGTATCTGAAGTGAAACATCTTAAAGTTTTTGCCAGCCATGTTTTGTGAAATGGAAATCCGGCATAAGAGGGAGATCTTGCTTTGGTTTGTAGGAGTTTAATATAAGTGGTTGATCAGAAATTTCAGATGCTGAACTTACACGTGATCAAAGAAGTGATGAAAGAACTGGATTTCTTCCAGAACTAGCTGGAGACACTTCATGATTATTTGCTTATTACTAAATTCACAGCAACTACAACCGCAACAGCGTCACTGCCAAGCTTTATCTGTGGGCGTAATGATAATGAAGTCTAGTATTTACTTAAATGATAATCACTTAACATGGTGGTGATCCCACCCTCTTTTGTAAACGATAAGACATTCCAATGATGCAGTCTGATTTGTTTGTCCATGTGCAGAATGCCACCAGACTTGTATGCGCTGTTCTGGCCCAGAAGCAAACCAGTGCACCCAGTGTGAGAAAGGACTCGTGCTGGATCCAAATACATTGTTGTGTGGCGTGACAGGCGACACAAACTGCCCACACAGGACCTACCTGCACGACGACCAGTTCACCTGCATGGGTTGCCACCGGCACTGTTACTCTTGTGAGGGGCCGGGCAACGATCAATGCCAGACCTGTGCCGTCCCCAAATACCTTCATAGTGAGCATTTTTTTTCTCCACTAATGTCCGACTGCACTACACTGAAGTGGTTCAGGGTGTAAAATAAACAAAAATCCACAGAAAAGCTGATTTTTATTTGCATTTATTGCAAAGCCATACATCTCCAAACTATCAGGTCTTGATAACAATCTTATTTTTAACCTTGATGACTAACAAACTATTTTATCAACTATTCTTTGCATTTGATGCCCTCAGTACACCTTGAAAACTGATTGTAAAGTGACGGCTCTTCTGGGAATATTTCACCTTATCAGTCTTGGTTAAATGGCCATATGTTAACTGATCAACAGCTGGATAGATTTATGATGGCAATAGGCGTGTGTCCATTCTATTGTCATGAGGAAATAGGAACGCCTTGAGCCATTGTCTTTAAAATTTTCAAAAACTCTTCATTTGCTAAAAACGTGACCACAAAATACACATTTTTAGCCATATCTGAAGAATTGATGATCGTATTTCACAGTTGATCGGACAACGAATTGGTGACACGCTGAGCATGCTGTGCAATGTGTCTCGAAGTACTGTGCCCTCGCAGTTGAGTCAACATAAAGTTATTAACTAACACTATTACAAAAATCACTTTTTGGCAATTCATAGAAGAAAATAATCTCATGTGAAATGTTTTTTAACCATCCTTTACAAGGTAGGTGCTAAAAAACTGTTCTGATGAACAAGAAAGAAAAGTAAAAATGAGTGCATGACTACTAATGAATTGGGAGTGGAACGTTTTTTGCATGTGTGCTATTTTCCAGATGGCACCTGTTTGACTGAGTGCCCAGCTGGTACATACAACACAAGGCAGGAGGCTGACGGAACAGAGCTGGGATTCTGTTTGCCCTGTGACCATGTCTGTTCCACTTGTACCGGAGCATCGCCAAGAGATTGCCTCACTTGTTCTCCAGGATACCTGCGCCTCCTTCAACTCTGTGTCACGCATTGTCCCACAGGGTACAGAGTTGATCAAGCTCTCTATTTACTTACTATTACAACTTCACCTCCTGTAATGGTAGCTGACTTTTTTTAGAGCGAGTAGGTTCTATGTAATTTCATCAGCAGTTGAACAACTCCCTCTGAAAACATTTCCAAATGTGATGTCACTTGATATTTAGTCAGAGACTAATGTTAAAATATGTCTGCAAGAATCAAAAATCTGTGTACATGTCTGACTTGTTAATATTGATGATTTCATGCCTTTCTTCAGGTATTACAGAGAGGGCCCCTACTGTGAGAAATGTGACCAGTCCTGTGAGCTGTGTACAGGAGCAGGGCCTGAGTCCTGCAGGAACTGTCCACCTCCTCTCCTGGAGCTGCAAGGCACTAAGCTGTGTGTTGAGCGATGCCCAGACCGCTTCTACCAGTTCAGTGACGTCTGCAAACAGTGCCACACCAGTTGTCAGACCTGCACAGGTGATTAAGGAGCTCTGTAATAACGGCGCTTGGAGAGCAGAACATCTGCCTAATGTTCACCTACAGTCAATATTTTTCACTTGTGTCAATACTGGACAACACAGTTTTTTCACTTTTGCGTAAGGAGTCAGTTCATGTATCGTCATTTCATTTTGTTGTACAGCCTTGTGTTCTATAATGATAACTACATTTATTTGATCCTCAGTGTGTAATGAATGCATGTTTGCAGATGCCTCGCCTCAGGCCTGTATGACGTGCGACTGGGGCAGCACTCTAAAGGACAAAGTCTGCTATCCGCGTTGTGAGGAGGGCCGATACTTCTCAGAAGAGGTGTGCTCTCTTTCACGTTATATCATAAATGTATATTTGTAAAAAAGGCCCTGACAACATATTTACCCAACCAACTTCTTATTATGGGGGATGTCTGCCAAATATTTTGGGTTATTTCACATGAGAAATGTCTTTGTGTTTTTATCTGGTTTACTGATGGAATATTGATTTAGGTTCAGCTGGAAAATGTGATGTCATGTACTTCTGTGCACCAGTCGGGATGTAGCAATATTGTGAAAGTTTTTATATCACGTCCACACTTCTATTATACTCACATGCTCTCTCTCTCTCTCTCTTGCTGTGAGTCTGCGTCACACTTTTTTAATCAATTGATGTTTTTTTATAATGCCTGGTTTTAGGGTTTGCTGCAGCCTCCTCAGCACCCCTCCTTCCCATGTCCATGCCTCTACACATTGAGTAAAATAAGTCGTTTATTTTAAAAATGGTTGAATTCTGAAATTCTTGCGTGTCACTCGGGGGCCCTTTTTGGAGGGCAGGGCCCATTTCAATTGAAAGGCAGCCAATACTTAAGGTTAGAAATTAAATTTTCAGGGGATTTTAAACCTTTTGTTGCATCTTTCTACAAAACGCAACACAAATGTGCAGACAGATATTTACTCAGCAACAACAACAGATGGCAATAAAAGCCACTTCTGTACAAAGAGGTTTGTTCCAAAGAGACCACATTTGGCTTTTATGTACCCAGTGTAATAATTTGTGAAATTATACCATTGTAGGACACCTGTGAGCCATGTGACACCTCGTGTAGGCATTGCACTGGACCCAGACCCGACCAGTGTCTAACTTGTCACCGGGATTCTGCTCTTCATGCTGTGGAGAACCGCTGCGCCCGCTGCTGTCAAGCTGAAGGGAATGACACTGATTGCTGTGTTTGTGACAGCCGCTCAGGTAGAGACCCTGCCTATTATAAGAGAAATATGATTGTTTGGATACGACTATCTACTAATGGCAGTTTTCTGTTCTAGCATTGTGTGTGGAGGCCCCCCAACCCAAGTCAGGAGACGGTCAGGTAACAGACCTGAATATGTCGTCTACAGTTCTGAAGCACACCTCAGCCGCTTTGCCTATTGCCCTGCTGCTAGCACTGGGGTTGGCTCTGGCTGTGTTTGCCTTGGTCAAGGCCCGTGCCAGGAAGAGGCTTTGCTGGAGCCAGAGCTATGAGAAACTCAGTGGCAGCGCCAGCATGAACATGCCCCACGGTGTGCCCGAGCCGGACAGTGGAGACGAGGTGGATGTGGTGTACACCAGTAAAGGAGGATCAGTATATCGGCGCTACAGCTTTGTCCATGAGCAGGTCGCAGATGTAGACCAGGATGTGGATGAGAGCACTTGTCTCAATCACTCTTAGATACATCTAAATCTCTGTAACTGAGCATTGCATTGTGGACACTCACAGGTAAATAGTTTAGTTTATGTTTAGAAGAGAATGTAGTTGTATTTTGCTTTGGTATGTTACTTTTTGAGTTCTGGTGTTTGATTTTACAAAGTGCCTGTACTTGTATAATGCACATTCTTAGATGAGGCATTTGTGAGTAAACAGTGGGGAGAAAATACATATATGTATATGACTTTTTCTTTTTTTACTTGACATTAAACAGTTGAATTATCATGTATAAAAATTAAAATCTGCATGATTTGTTGTAAATACAAATTAACCACTCCACTTGATGTCTTGAGTGCAATTTGAAGACTCAAAGGTGTGTTTGATTTGTCTAGTGTAGTACTACAATTCGGCATTGGTTTGGAGTTGGTAGGTCACATGACATGGAAGCTATTGAAATAAATGATGATTTTCCCATAACACTGTTTTAACAATTGTAATTTATTGATGATCCCTAAGCTGACCCCCGGTGGTTAAAAGCGAGCTATCGGAGGTGAGATAACCGCATTTATACTGCAGAGACAAGGTGAAATGAGTAAGAAGCCGTCACTGGATCCTGGGTGAATGTCTGTCGAATATCCAACTTAAAACTAACTTCACCGCGGTAACGAAACATTGATTGTTTTTATTTTGCCAGATTAAATGGAATTAGGCGATGGCGCCTAGGCAATTGGGCAGCAACGTGAGCCCGTGAGTTTTATATTTGTTTAGACTACATTTTGGAAAATTAATTTAGTCGAATTAACTATTAACAGTTAATTTTGCTGTGTACCATTGGATGATGACAACTTTCCCTGAATTACTTTGATAGGGAAGAAATCCTAAAAACCAGACAGGTTCTGAAGCGTCACTGTTCCTGTCCCAGTAGGCTGCATACAGTGAGTTACACTCATAGTACACTGTGCTGCAAATTGAGTATATATAAATACTTTGTTGAAAAAAAGCACACTCTTGAGCACTGATGTCCAAGCTCACATTCATCTGCCAAGTGTATTTATTTGTCAGGTTTAAGTCAGTAGCTTCCTGGTTACACAAAACGGACTCATTAGTGAGTTATTCAGACCATCAGGGGGAAAGTGAGATAAACACAGATCTATTACTGTAGACTACTTTATTACCATGCATGGCGCTCTTTCAGCGGCGTTTCTGGCAGCAGCATACCATCACCCTACCTTCCGAGAGCTGCCTACACTGCCAACCTGAGCAACGCGTCTGCAACCTCTTGCTTTTCATTTCGGCGCCTATGTTAACAGGTTGTTAGAGCAGCCACAGAGCCCGCGTGAGCAACGCAAGGGAAAGTTTGTTCTATCTGTCTTCACGGTACAGTTGTGTAATAGTCAGGGTTGCGTGGACTTCATACAGACATTTTTATTATGAAATCCTGCACTCTGTCAGTTTAAGTAATGAGCAGGAGTCTAATACGGAGTACTGTGGACAGTTCCCTCAGTATGGCTGTCCCAGGATCAGCACCTTGACAGTGGTTGTGAGACTTTAAAATGTGTTTAACTGTTTAAACTTTATTCAGTATGATGCTGCTGCTTTTCCTACTGTTTCAATGTCTTTATCTATAGAATAGGCCTATGTCACAGACATGGAGACCATAACTACTATTAACCCTAAACCTAACCTTACCTTAAACCAACTCTTCACACTAAAATGTTGGCTCCCATAAGGAAAGAGAGTCCCCACTATGTAACTGTGTGTAAACAGATGTAATACTTAATCACCTGTGAAGCCTATATATATAGTATAAAAAATAACAAACTATAATAGAAACAATGTGTATATATAAATAAAAATTGTGCATATAGAAAATCAAAATTCTTCTGTCACAGTTGCTAGAGAAATATGATTGTTTGGATACAACTATCTACTAATGGCAGTTTTTTGTTCTAGCATTGTGTGTGGAGGCCCCCCAACCCAAGTCAGGAGACGGTCAGGTAACAGACCTGAATATGTCGTCTACAGTTCTGAAGCACACCTCAGCCGCTTTGCCTATTGCCCTGCTGCTAGCACTGGGGTTGGCTCTGGCTGTGTTTGCCTTGGTCAAGGCCCGTGCCAGGAAGAGGCTTTGCTGGAGCCAGAGCTATGAGAAACTCAGTGGCAGCGCCAGCATGAACATGCCCCACGGTGTGCCCGAGCCGGACAGTGGAGACGAGGTGGATGTGGTGTACACCAGTAAAGGAGGATCAGTATATCGGCGCTACAGCTTTGTCCATGAGCAGGTCGCAGATGTAGACCAGGATGTGGATGAGAGCACTTGTCTCAATCACTCTTAGATACATCTAAATCTCTGTAACTGAGCATTGCATTGTGGACACTCACAGGTAAATAGTTTAGTTTATGTTTAGAAGAGAATGTAGTTGTATTTGCTTTGGTATGTTACTTTTTGAGTTCTGGTGTTTGATTTTACAAAGTGCCTGTACTTGTATAATGCACATTCTTAGATGAGGCATTTGTGAGTAAACAGTGGGGAGAAAATACATATATGTATATGACTTTTTCTTTTTTTACTTGACATTAAACAGTTGAATTATCATGTATAAAAATTAAAATCTGCATGATTTGTTGTAAATACAAATTAACCACTCCACTTGATGTCTTGAGTGCAATTTGAAGACTCAAAGGTGTGTTTGATTTGTCTAGTGTAGTACTACAATTCGGCATTGACAGTGGTTGTGAGACTTTAAAATGTGTTTAACTGTTTAAACTTTATTCAGTATGATGCTGCTGCTTTTCCTACTGTTTCAATGTCTTTATCTATAGAATAGGCCTATGTCACAGACATGGAGACCATAACTACTATTAACCCTAAACCTAACCTTACCTTAAACCAACTCTTCACACTAAAATGTTGGCTCCCATAAGGAAAGAGAGTCCCCACTATGTAACTGTGTGTAAACAGATGTAATACTTAATCACCTGTGAAGCCTATATATAGTATAAAAAATAACAAACTATAATAGAAACAATGTGTATATATAAATAAAAATTGTGCATATAGAAAATCAAAATTCTTCTGTCACAGTTGCTATTGGCAATGTGGGCTAAACATCTATTTCCCATGCCAATACAGCCCTTTTGAATTGAATTGAATATTGTCTCCCTCCAACAGTGACATATATCTGCCACTGAAGAGAAAAAAAATCTTGTCAATCAACAAGTCCTTTGTTGTCATGTGAAGGTGTTGTCTGTAGGCATGTGTATGTGTGTACATAGCATAAATGTTGAAACATCCACCAGGACTTGTGCAACAAGTCAGATCCTACTTTAGGACCAACCAGGAAGGTGTTTAAAATGAATTCCTTCCACGCCTTCATTTGACACACCTACTTAGGGGGATGATTCAGCTTGTGCTCCTTTATTAAATGAAGAACTACAGCTTCTCCTCATTGTAGTGTAACCTGCAGAGTAGACAAGGTCACCAAAGTCACATCAAGCAGACTTCGAGCAAGGAAATGGCTTTGGGATGGTTGTTGAAGGGTCAGATGTTGGTGAGGTCCCTCTCTCTCATCCTCACGGGTATGCTCCTTTATTTTGTCCTTCAGCAAACTCTCTCTCCTTTTGACAGGCAGTCATCATCTGATCACACAATACCACTGCAGTTCTCTATTGACCTGCCTGGCTGCTCGGCTATCATCAGTGGGGATGTAGAGAGCAAGAAGAACGAATTGGAAGTGCTTCTGGCATCCAGGAAAAGACACAATTTTCTATCTGAGGACTTCTACCTCAATGTGACAAAAGACTGCCCAGCTTACATTGAAAAGAGAGGTTTCATGACAGTGCCGCTCAGTGAAGAGGAGAGGGATTTTCCCATTGCCTACTCCATGGTGATTCATGAGAAGATTGAGATGTTTGAGCGACTTCTACGAGCTATTTACACTCCTCAGAACATCTACTGTGTGCATGTGGACCAGAAATCCTCCAAAGAATTTCAGAAGGCTGTGGAGGCAATTATCTCCTGCTTTCCTAATGTGTTTGTAGCCAGTAAATTAGAAAATGTGGTATATGCCTCATGGTCCAGAGTGCAGGCAGATTTGAACTGCATGAAAGATCTGCTGAGCTCACATGTCCAGTGGAGGTACCTGCTCAACACCTGCGGGACAGACTTTCCCATCAAAACCAATGGAGAGATGGTTCAGGCTCTGAAGGCCCTCAATGGGAGAAACAGCATGGAGTCTGAGGTCACCAATGACTACAAGAAAGGCCGCTGGCAGTATCATCACAATGTCTCTAACACAGTCATCAGGACAAGTGAGAGGAAAAGTCCTCCACCCATTAGCAGCCCCATGTTCCAAGGAAATGCTTACTTTGTGGTCACAAGAGCCTTTGTAAAACATGTCATGCAGGACAGAGAGATTCAGACATTTCTGGAGTGGGAGAAGGACACATACAGCCCAGATGAGCACTTGTGGGCCACACTAACGAGGATGCCTTCTGTTCCCGGATCAGTGCCTGCCAACATTAAGTATGACATGTCAGACATGAATGCCATTGCTCGTTTGGTAAAGTGGAGCTATTTAGCAGGAGAAATGAAAAATGGAGCCCCGTACTATCCTTGCACTGGGGCTTACAGAAGAGCTGTTTGCGTGTACGGTGCTGGCGACCTCCAGTGGCTCCTCACACAACACCACCTCTTTGCAAATAAGTTTGATCCCGAGGTTGATGACACTGCTATTAGATGTTTGGAGTCAGTTCTGCGTTTCAAGGCTTTAGGTAACGGCCAGTTATTAACAGATTAATATGCCACCATTTTGTAAAGCTTCTAATCATTTGAAATGTAAAATAATATTGTAGAAACCATATTAATTTATTATAAAAAATTAGGGATCTTCTGATGAAATGTATTGAAATATTCTATTGCTATTAAGTCATTTCTGAAATATGATCCACATTGTATATATTTTTTAAATTATGTGGCTGTTAATCTTATGTCAAGATATTGTTATAGATCTTGTCATGACTTAATATCTGCTGCTAATAATCTGCTCGTTTTAATATTATTGCGAAGGTATTGATGGGGAACTTATGCCATGTCTTTTTTTATTTTTATTTTTTATGATTTCAATGACATGTGTTTGTGGTGCCATCTAGTGGATTCTAAGTGGAAGAGATCTGCAAAGCTGAGGAAAAAAATGTTGGTTATTTGAATCTTAACATACTCTTCATTTGGTCACTGTACAGTTTCAGTGCTAACATAAACCTCTGTCTTGTAACAACTGCAAAACAGGACCGGATGGAATAAAAATATATATAAAAAAAAAACAATGATGTGGATCCATGACTTTACTTGGAGGAAATGTTACACTAAGACATACATCTTTACTTCAAATTGTTGCTGTCACCATGTTCTCCCTCAAGTCAGAGGGCACATTCAAGTGAGGGGCAAAAAATAAAACTTTATTTTCCCCAGGCAGGATTTTAACAGAGAACGCCAGCAGTGAACAGTGAAAAAGGTGCTGTCAGAACTTGTTCTACGAAATGCCACTCAGACACCTAAAATGCAGTTTAAAATCAGAGCAACCATAAAAATATATTAATTTCTCTCCATTGTCACCTTTTGAATATAAATATATATTTAAATGTAATAAAGCAGAACATGCATCAACCATTTGTAACAGAGTGCCTTAAATAACGTGTAGATACAACAGTAACTAGGGAACACCAATAAGCTAAGTGTGACATGATATACCGGTAGTAAATAACTAAAAAAGATTAAAAAGTTTCAGACAGAATGTGGAAAAATGCAGAGGATTGAGCTGTAAAAAGTTCCACAATGTAACAGGCAGCATAGTTTCAAAAAAGGCACTCTCCTGATGCAAAGAGCCAAGTCTCCAGTCACGTTGCCCAGAGCATATACATTAGATTGTTGTGCTCCTCCTCCACATCTTGCAGTGCGAGCAGGGTCACTCCGGTATGGCAGCAGTTGCGATCTCCACTTTACCGTGCATGTCCTTGTCGATTCTGCAGACAGATTCAATAGTCATCAGACATCCATGTGACTGGGATGGTGTGTCATCTAAAAGGGCCAACACACTGTCCATAAACACGCTTTTCATTTGATCACATCCTGAAATGTGAAAGTACCATCACACCACTGCAAAGTAAATTCTTTGCCAGAGGAAAATCATTTTTACTTACCAAACCAATCTCCACCATACAAATTAATACCTAATTTGGTCTGTTATAATTCACACTAAATATTAAGTACTTAAAATATTTGTGTGACACAAACCATCAATATCTGTTGTATAATGGAGGTTCTTACTTACCTTGAAACCTTATAAGACAAATGCACTAATGTGTGCTTCAATATGCAGCACACCCTGCATAAAGGTATAGACGTATACAATAAATACTCATATACAGTATGTGCAATCTTTGAATTTTTTCCAAGCCTTGAGTAATCTATTACAATCCGTAGCCATGTTACCAGTGCATAAATGTGCAATTTTTGTTGATACTGTCAGAAAGATGGCGATGTGTGAGGGTTTGAGTGCATTTGTCTTGCAAGCCTGTCAATCAATTTAGAAGCTTATGCACCTAATAACATATGCTCAACTAATTTTGGCAGAGTTCCATACACAACACAGAGCTTCTTGGACAACCCTGTGATTATTACTTTTCTAATGTTCTAACATCCTATGATATACAGTATCTCACCCCTCACATTTTCATAAATATTTGATTATATCTTTTCATGTGACAACACTGAAGAAATGCCACTTTGCTACAATGTAAAGTAGTGAGTGTACAGCTTCTATAACAGTGTAAATTTGCTGTCCCCTCAAACCAACACATTACACAACAATTAATGTCTAAACCGCCTGCAACAAAAGTGAGTACACCCTAAGTAAAAATGTTTAAATTGGGCCCCACAAGCCATTTTCCTTGTGTGACATCCTTGTGACTTGTTAGTGTTACAAGGTCTCAGGTGTGAATGGGGAACAGGTGTGTTAAATTTGGTGTTATCGCTCTCACACTCATACTGGTCACTGGAAGTTCAACATGGCACCTCATGGCAAAGAACTCTCTGAGGATCTGAAAAAAAGAATGGTTGCTCTACATAATAATGGCCTAGGCTATAAGATTACCAAACCCTGAAACAGAGCTGCAGCATGGTGGCCAAGACCATACAGCAGTTCAACAGCATAGGTTCCAATCAGAACAGGCCTCGCCATGGTCGAACAAAGAAGCTGAGTGCACGTGCTCAGCGTCATCTCCAGTGGTTGCCTTGGGGAAATAGACTTACGAGTGCTGCCAGCATCGCTGCAGAGGTTGAAGGGGTGGGGGTCAGCCTGTCAGTGCTCAGACCACACAGCTCACCCTGCATATTGGTCTGCATGGCTGTCGTCCCAGAAGGAAGCCTCTTCTAAAGTTGATGCACAAGAAAGCCCGCAAACAGTTTGCTGAAGACAAGCAGACTAAAGACATGGATTACTGGAACCGTGTCCTGATGAGACCAAGATAAACTTATTTGGTTCAGATGGTGTCAAGCGTGTGTGGCAGCAACCAGGTGAGGAGCACAAAGACAAGTGTGTCTTGCCTACAGTCAGGCATGGTGGTGGGAGTGTCATGGTCTGGGGCTGCATGAGTGCTGCCGGTACTGGGGAGCTACAGTTCATTGAGGAAAACATGAATGCCAACATCTACTGTGACATACTGAAGCAGAGCATGATCCCCTCCCATCGGAGACTAGGCCGCAGGGTAGTATTCCAACATAACGACCCCAAACACACCTCCAAGACGACCACTGCCTTGCTAAAGAAGCTGAGGGTAAAGGTGACGGACTGGCCAAGCATGTCTCCAGACCTAAACCCTGTTGAGCATCTGTGGGGCATCCTCAAACGGAAGGTGGAGGTCTCTAACATCCACCAGCTCCGTGACGTTGCTATGGAGGAGTGGAAGAGGACTCCAGTGGCAACCTGTGAAGCTCTGTTGAACTCCATGCCAAGAGGATTAAGGCAGTGCTGGAAAATAATGGAGGCCACACAAAATATGTCACTTTGGGCCTAATTTGGATATTTTCACTTAGGGGTGTACTCACTTTTGATGCCAGCGGTTTAGACATTAACAGCTGTGTGATGATTTTGAGGGGACAGCAAATTTACACTGTACACTCACTACTTTACATTGTAGCAAAGTGGCATTTCTTCAGTGTTGTCACATAAAAAGATATAATCAAATATTTACAAAAATGTGAGGTGTACTCACTTTTGTGAGATAATGTATCTGCAAATGAACCATCTCAGCAACTGAGCACATTACTTATAAGTAATGAGCAGAATATTTCTGTGTGCATGAGGAAGGCTGACAAAGGTTTGTGGCAATTACAAAACATCAGCAGGGAGTGGGTATGCAGTGAGTCATGCAAAGAGCTGTGAGAGAGGACAAGCCGGGTGCTCAGTCAGTAAGTTTGAGTTACTGCAGCGAACCATGCGAGGACATGGTTACAGTGCAACCACACACCACAGTGACAAAGACAATCTGCTTCCCTGCAGTTCCACCCCATTCAGTCGTAAAAGAATGAACAAACTTACCAAATGTCAAACACCTCAAATTCTAAACCTGTTTTTTAAGAGACACATGCAAGTAAGTGCTACTTGATGCCCCAACTTTAATATCAGAAAGCAGCAATGCAATCAGCTACGCCAAATCTATTCTAACATGTTCTTGAAATAAATCAATTCTTTTCAGCATCACAATGAAGACAGTATTTTGTAAAAAGGATAAGATTCTTAAGGCTACAAACGTACATGGTATGTTTAAAACCACATACAGATAGCTGTAATTATTTTGAGGCAATAAATAAAGAACACAACTCACATGAATTAGCTTTGAGATTAACTGAACAGAATTGGCTCAGAAATGAGATATAGTTGGTTAAACAAGCACCAGGCCACCTATTTTTGGAAACCAATCAAACAGCTTCTCAGCCTGCTCTTTAGGAACTAAATCTACTGAGAGGAAAAAGTAGGACATTGGGGAGGAAAGTTGTCGATTTTGGCCAGAAGAAAACAGCAAATCATCAAACTACAAAAACGCGGACAGGTTGAGGTGTATTGGTGCATTTCTGAAAGCCAACAGATCATTTCGTTGTTAGTTTTGTGAAATGCAAAAAATAAAATAAATAAATGCTGAGACTGATCCTGGGTGAAAGTGCATATACCTTTTACGGCTTTTCCTATTTTTTTCGTCGTCAAACCTTTAGAAGGGGTAGGGAAATGGAGTTAAGGAAAGGAGAAATACACAGCCAACAGCAACCAAACATCCAAAAGAGAAAAAACATTTGATAAGATGAGTATATGTGCTGACGTCTTTTCTAATGCCACGAGGATACAAGGCACGCCTCAGGTTAAGTCACATCAAGGGAAAATACAGCATGAGCAATTTCTCAGCATGAGCTCGCTCAATGGTTATGCATATCATTTTGCATATAATGTTGACACTTGGTGAAATGTTAAAATAACTCAGATAGTGCATAACACCCATTAAGGCTACACAGGAAAAGCAGAATGTTGCTGTAGCACCACCTACAGCTGAAATGCAATCACATTTTGCAGGATCAGTCCGACATTATACTGCATAAAACGTTACTAGAATTTGGAGAGGAAAAAAAAACATCAAGGCATCAAAAGAAATAACTTTTTTTAGGAATCATTTAATTATGTTTTGTACCAAGTTTTGTGAGGATAGAATGAATTCTGTAGAAGGGAAGAAATGGAAGGTGGTCTATACTGATGTGGTCATTATTAACTTATTCAAGTGAGCAGCCATGTACTGCTCCACTGCACACCAGTTGCAGCTGTAAAATATGCCATCTCCAGGTCCATTTCATTTGGAAACAAAACAAGACTGAATCTAGCCTCAACCAGGAACCACCCCGATATGTAAACGACTGCTGTAAATGAATGCTTACTCAAGTGTTAGCATTTAACAACAAATCATTTTCAACACTTAGGTATAAAATCAGAGGGCCAAACCACTACATTTCTGTTACGGCCTTGGATTTCTATTTATTAACTTGCAGACCCCACACTATTTGGTCTTTTGACAGGACTTTTGTAGAGTTTTAAAGAGCTCGAAAAGTGCTGATGTGTTCGTGTGGAGCATACTTACTGTTTGATACAATCTGGTATGGACACATACTCCATTGGAACCAATTCTGCCAGGTCTATCAAGCTGTACACGTACTTTATTTTCTGACTAAATTTGGAGCTGTGAAAAGAAACGGGAGGTTACCTAAACTATTTATTACTCTGATCATGTTAAAACTTCAAACATTAAAGTTACCTTATGAAAGGTTTTGTGAGAGCCAGCAAGGTGCGAATAAACCAAGAGGGATGGACAATTATCAAAGATTTCAAGTTCTTCCTTAACCTATACAAAAAGAGTGAGAGAAGCTATCAATAATAATCACATATCATTAAATTAAGGACTTGAATTCATTACTGGATCCCTGAAAATTGTTAATAACTGAAATGAACATTATTCCTCAGTTTTGCTGACCTACACTTTGTCTTTTCCTTCTTGGGTTATTCTGCAGCAATGGAAGTAAATGAAGCCTTAAAAGTTGATCCAAAACAAATTTCTACAGCTGTCCCAATTTGTAAACACCTTGGCACAGCCTGTGTTAATGCTCCTTTAGAAGCTTTATTTTTACAATATTGTGACTACAAAGAAAATTAATGAAGGAAGATAGACCAGTTGGTCAACAAAATTCCTTTTAACTGTTCATTTTATCTCACTGAAAATATCTGTTTTGGTGATGTAAATGTTGTTTTTAACTCTGGCAGTTTGCTGCTTACTTTTGTACCATTTAAGGTTTTTCACTGGACTTGGACTACTTATATTTCAATACAAACTAGAAAAAAGGGGGGGAGGGGGGAGGGTAGTGTATGATGATGCTGCTGTTCTTGTGATTGGGCCAACACCTCTGCACAGCTGTAAACGCTACTACTTCAGACTCACCTCCTATCAATCTGCTGATAACACTTTCTGAGCCAGCCAACAGTTGGCATCTTTTTCCGAGAGGTCGCACCATTCAAATACACAATCATATAGTTCTCAGCAACCAAAAGCTCCAGTGTGCCGATGACGTACCTGCGACGGGAAAATTCCATTAGTGCTGGTTCTCAAATGTTCGCTCACAAGGCTTGAGGACTTCAAATAATTACTCACTTGAATAAATTGTCCATGATGTATCTGTAATTTGGTTGATTGCTCTCAGGCATAAAGCACACAGCAAACACAATGATGGCATTTAAACCGTCTCCATAGTAACCTGCAATGAAAAGCCAAAAAATAATTTTTAACACAGACGATGATGTCAAACACAAATGTAATACTGCTTGTTCATCTTGTAAATTAAAAGGAACATAGACATACATAGAATTACTGCACATACTGTATGTGTGTGCCTAATTTCACCATGTATGCCACTGACCTCCATGGCTGATAACTCTCTTGTAAGGTTCGATGGCCTTCATGTCCACTCTGTGTTCCTGGTCTCCGAACCGAAACGCCCTCCAGCGTCGCCCTTCCTCCCTCTCCTCCGAGGCAGAGTACTCCTGAACTGACTCCACACCCTTCTGTAGTAGCTCTGTGGTTTTCGGCTTGGGTAGGTCGTCTAAAGGAGAAGAGGCATTTTAAACCCTCAGCTTGGATACTACACCCGCTGCATGTGAGGCCTGTCTGATGTAATCAATTCTGATTTACTTTGATCAAATCATTTATGTAATGTTTAGATCACTCAATTTATAATAAAAATTATCAATTGCATGCATTTTCATCAACAGATATGACAATAACATTTCTTTTTTTGCTTTTCTCTTTTAGATGGCATGCTTTCCTTTTTCGAATCAACACCAACAGTCACATCTTACATCCATGTCTCCCTTTCACTTGAGGTCATCCTTTTTTGCGGGGGGAAACCCTGCTATTGCACTCTTGTCATGTCACAGTAAAATAAATGGAAATAAATGTGATGACCAACCACTACCATTCAAAGGGCCGACACCCAACTGAAGTCCCTGAGGACTTCTGTGCATCTTTTGTTGTGGCACATATGCATGACGCACATAATGTATAGCTGCATATCATGCAGACATCAAGCAAAGTTTTAAAATGATAATGTATTTCAAGCATGCAACAAGCATAATCAAATTTAAGCGGATAATAGTGAAACCAAATCACACCAACACACTTTGATGAGGATCTTTCCGTGAGTGGCTAATCATATACATACATACACACACACACACACACACACACACACACACACATCTGGGTTTCTTCTTTAGGGCACTGTATGACCACATATATAAATTTTGCCTGAAAATAACTGGCTCATCATTTATGAAATTATCTACCAAATGAATCAAAAGCACACAATGTGAGATTCTTGTTTTAAAATCCCAAATGTTATGTAATTAAAAGACTACAATTAATTAGGTGCACATTTGTATCATGCTTTAATGTATTCATTTATTGTGAAATGTCTTGTGATGTGTGATATCTTGTGAAATATGACACACCCAAAGACTAATAAACAAACAGCGCATGCTAGCAAATGTTAAAATGTATTGTTTCCTGAAACACAACAAAATTTCAATGAAAGGAAAAATGACATGCACATAACACACACCAAAAATGAAGGGTATGAAACATGAAACTTCCCCATGATTTGTTTGAATAGCTGAAGACAGAACATAATCTGGACAATAGGAATTGATTGACTCATGGATGGCAGAAAAAAAAAAAAAAAAAGGGGGCTGTCCAAGAGACCTTACCACAAGGAAGAGAGAAACCTGCTGCTGCCCTGCAGCCTGTTTCCAGGCAGAGAATGGAAACAATTCTTCCAAGTGAAATAGAGGAAAGCAGCAGTGTGGAAACAAAAACAAAGTACATTTTAACTTCACTTAAGGCACTCAGCTGCCAACCCAAACCTGTAAAATGAAGGAAGGAAAAGGCCCATGGATCCAAGAAACCAGGACATAAAAGACCGGTCTGATAACACAATTGTATGTGTTACAAGCCAACGAATAAACCCAAGGAGGGAAAATCTTTTCATAAATAAAATACACCATAGTGGACTTCATCTGGGTTTAATTTAAAGTATCTTTGCATCTCCCACCTCATCAAGTCAATCTAAACTTGACTGAACTTTCAGTATTAACAAAACAAAGCGGAACAAAAAAGGTAAAAAGATACTAGGGGTGCAAACGATCACAGAATTCATGTTTCGGATCATATATGGTTATAATTTTTTGGATTCCACACAGCCAATGCCATTTTACACAATGGAGGCAAAAGCAACAGCTTTTGAATCAGTTGCTCCCCTAACCCAGTTGTTGTGCATGTTTTCACAGCAATTAACATTTACAGAATTAATACATAGTAGAGGTGTCAGTAAAACTGTTTCACACTATGATGGTTAAACTCCGCGGGGGGGGGGGGGGGGGGGGGGCATACAGACCACTACTAAAGCATTATTGTTGTCATTGCGTAATATTAAGTTCTTACCTTCCCATTCAAACTCATTGCTGTTGTCTGAAGGTGTGTCTATATCATCAAGGTCCAACTCTGTACTCTCATCCAGCTCATCAGAGAGGAGAGAACCTTCACTGCGGTCAAGTGTAAGGCTGATGTCCGGAGCTGCAAGCTTCTTCTTTGCCTTCTTGCCATGGTTCATTTCATAACCTATGGTAGATGTCAAATCATCATTGTTCATGGGTTTTGTAAGAACAATTAAAGAATACTCACATGCAATGAAGATATATTTTCCTAGTGCTTCCAGAGTCCTTTATTGTGCAAAACCTGCACTCTGAAGTTCAGGCAAGGCAAATAAGAGGCTGCATTAGTTTACACAATCAAGTGGTATCTTCCATTGTGAACAATATTTTATTAACCAAAATCCCTCTGTGTATTACTGTCCCTCCACTTCACCTCTGCAAACAAAACACTATTAGAGAGGATTTTATACTAAAAAGACTACACTTGAAGACACCCTTTGGTTTTTAAAGGCTGCTGCTGGGGCCTCAAATTAGATTGGGCTGAACTTTCAGAATGCATTCTTGCACAAACAAGAATGAACAGGAATGATTACAGCAGCCAAAAACTCTCTCAACGTACATGGGCATGTGAGTTTTAAGATAAGACTTGAAAAATGTGAACATGCACTTTAATATTCTCCTGGGTCGCTGTGGCAATGCACCGTATACTATTCTGTTTTCATTACCAGGGTCTCCCTCTTCAGATGGTCCTGCAAAAAGCTCATCTTCAAGCTCCTCTTCCTCTGGTAGGGGCCTGATAATCAAACAGGAGGAATTCACACCTTCAGTGGGGTTATGGTTCATGTGACTTTTAAAACCCAAAACATTTGATACAAAGCTGTTAACCATGATTTACGTGGTAATACATGAACATTAGGAGTGACAATACCGTGGAAAGTCCTCATCCTGCCACTCTTCCTTCAGTTCAACTCCTTCCATTCTTAGTCGGGCTTCTGTTGTGGCGACTGACTCTTGGCGCTCCAGGCTGGTAATAAAATCACAAAAAGGTCACGCCATCTTTTATGTTTAATGATCTTTAATTGCTAGTAGGATGGATTAGTATGTCAGCAACTAAAACCTCCACAAAGTCATTGGATATGGACAGTTACAGTGATGGAACACTACAAGACAGCAGGTACACTTGACTTAAGAGGATGAGGATTATGTTATGAACAGCCTAGGTTATGTTGAGAAAAAAATACACAATAATAGAAAAAGATCTATATGAGATTTATAAGAAAAGTTATAAAATACATAAAACAAGTTCATTTGATTTTAAAGGTTTCAATGGAGAAGGGTTACACTTTTAAATAAGAATAAAAACGCCATATATATATATATATATATATATATATATAAATAAAGGCTCTACTCATGTGTAAGGTTCATAATACCTTCCCTCTGGTAGGCCAACAGCAGCCTCTACTGACAGTCTTAACCTTTACAAGATGTAGAGCAATAGAGGGGGGTTAAGCAGAAGTATCTGTCTAAAAAGATTTGTTGTAACAGTTGGTAAGAAATTGTGTGTCATGTATTGTCAAATTTGGGGGGGAAATGGTCCTTTTGGCTTTAGGATGAACCTTAAACTTCCATTGCTTACTATATAATAGAGGGTAATAACGGCTTTCCATGTGCTGTGGTCAACCCCGCCTGTTACTTATCACCATAGCATTACACGCTGTTAGTGAGAGAAAACCTTGTGTATGGTGCCTATATGCCAATCGGTATGTGCCTCTTTACTATCACATGGGCTTATTGCCTTTTTTAAACAAACCAAATACTTTGATATGAAAAGAAAATAACCATCTCCCCTCCATAGTTCCAGCTCCTTGGCTGATGCTCTGTCACAGTGCTAATCAATCCACAATTCACAGCCATGCATGTTGATCAAGAACCGCCTCAAGAGTTTCAGCCTGCAACTGGCCACATAATCAGATCACTGCCTTCTTGAAAAGCTCACAAGCTTGTGTTTAGCTTAGCTTATAAACCAACCAGGGCTTAGCTTATAAACCATAGGGCTAGTCACTAATGCTGATCATGGTATCTGTGTCTTTGCTGCACAGAGCTCCTTCTGAAGCATTAATCACATACATGACTGTATTTGTGCTCCCAGACGCAAAAACAATCTGGGCATTTGGTTCTCAACATTTCACAATGTATCAGTTTGCTTATGTATAGTACTAATCCCCACATTACATCTGAAATCCAACTAAGAGAGGTAGAAGTGCCAAAGGAATGTGGTTTCCTGAAAAGAAATCCTAGCAATCAAAGAGCACCAGAGACCAAGGTGCATGAAAGTGGAATCGGCCACATTAGTGAGTCAAATGGAAAAGAAAACAGTTCAAAAACTATAATAACAATAAGCCACTGGTGGTGATGGTTTTGAAATAACTGATTTTGACTATGCTGATACTTCTTTCCCCAAGACAGTGTACATACACCCTAATACATTCTGTATAACTTTTTTTTTAAGTTAAGACAAAGGTAAATCTATATAAAAAGAAAGAAGTGCTGACCAAACGTTTGATGAGAAGTAATTTTTCATGGCCATGATTTCATCAAATCTGACAGGAATATTATTTGTTATTAATGATGGGGAACCATTACTTTACTAAATTTGAATTTAGTTCTCATATAGCTATACTTCTTATAAGAATATGCAAATCTGTCAGTGTCAGAAAAAGAGTGGCTAATTTGGCTTTCTGGCTTCTGTCAATAAAACTGCTGGTTATTCGATATGAAGATTAAAAAGGTAGAGGCACAATTCATAGCAGCACCTTACCCTGATAGATGCGAGAGAACATCCTGAAATGTCATCTCCTTGTGGTTAAATAGAATGTGTCAACTAGTGTTGCTGTCCAGCTGTTAGCCCTTTCATATCCTGATTACTAACAATCTTGAGCATACAGTAAGTTGCAAATACTTGTAATGAAGGATCCACTGTTGTTGGTGATGGGTCACAAGGTCATATGTTTGTCAAAGTTCAGCCAAATGATGCTCTGTGTATATCTTGCTGCACAGCTGTTCACATATTTTGCTTACCATAACCTACAGTGGTTTGAGACAAAGACTGTTACACCTGTACAATAGTATACAGTCTAAAAAAATAGCCCAGCAAAATACTACATTTCTGAAGCTTAAAGTTTCACATTTTTCTTTAGATTGTGCCAGAGAAGTATTGATTCAACTGTGTTACTTTTTGACATCCTTGTCTGTGGTGCTGTTGTACTGGATTACATTATAATGAAATATGATCCTACTGTTTTGTCCACAGCTGAAAAAATAATAGTGTACAGATATTCATATTACCTCCTCTACAATGTTCAGGAAATCAGTGTCATACCAGCCTCAGTCTAGCGTCTACCTGACTTGCTTTTCTTTCCAGGCTATAAATAAGTGAATGCATAAAGGTTTGGAAAGGGTATGTCCCTGTCTGTTGGTATTATTAATCACTTGTTTTCCTTTTTGTGTTCTGGGTTAAACAGTTAAGTTTTGCCTGTGAGAGTATGGCTTCATTTGAGGAGCTAACCACAGCAATTAATAGCATTTAGCAGTGGTATTGGCAACCATGCAAGAGATTCGCAGGTCTGATCCAGTACACTGGAAAACATTCGCTGGCAGACACTTGAACAGAGGCGGTCATCTGACTCAGGTGCTGGAGTCTGGGAGAACAGCTTTCATGTAATGGAGCGCTGATACAAGAATATAGCTCATATTTTTTTAAGTTTCCAAAATGTAGGTCAAACAAACAAATGTACAGTTACAGACCTTCCAATAGGTCCAGGGGGTGAGCGTGGCTGGGGAAGGCTCACTGGGGTAGAACTTTTTGCTCCCGGCTGTTTCTGCTCGTCGCCTGGAGTTGGCCTTTCCTGTGGCGTAACGTTACCTCTTGTTTTGGTTAGACTCTCTTGGGATGCCTCTTCGCCATTTTCAACTGTGGAAGCTGTGCTACTTTGTAATTCGTCCAATTCCTCCTCTTCACCTTCTCCCGACACCCCAGAAGACGAAGGAGTAGAAGTCTGTCTGTTCCCCAGCTCGTCAAGCGTCCTCCTGGGTGTGACAATATCTTGGCTGCTATTGTTCAGATTCATATCGCTTACACCCTTCAGCACTGCTTCACTCCCAATCACATCCGATGCCATAACGTTAAGTTTCTCCTGGTCCTAGAGCGGCTCGGTGTTGAAGAGTCCGACGGTGAAACGTTGAAAACACCGGTTTAGTAAGCCAGTCAGATAGGTGAACGTGACTTACAGAACTTCTTTAAAAGTTTGTGGCTAGCGTAGTAGCTCTCGTCCGCCGTACAGCTAGCCAAAAGGACGGTGTTTGTTGACAGATAGCAACACCAACTAACAGCACATCTTATTAACGTTAACCAAATAGTGTTAAATGTCACACTGGGTTGACAGATAGTAACTTTATCTAAATGCGTCACAGTGTGTGAACTCTGGAGTCCAAAACGTGTGCTAGCTTTGCATAAGCAGCGGTGCGCAGTGTTCCTGCTACTTATCAATTTCCTCCCTTCCTTCCTCCGAGTCAGAAAGCTCTCCTGCGAACCGACGTTACTCACGCTAGCGTATGGGCGATAGTTAGCTCCCTTAGCCACAGCAGAACACAAGCTAATGTTGACCCGGCATTAATCCATAAATTGAAGCCAGTTGTCAACTACAACGTAACGTTAGGACAGCAATTCCGTTGGTCATCGTAAAATATAAAGTCCGTATCTGCTGATTTAACTACCCGGCTTCTCCGTTATTAGTCTTAGGAATGATAATTTAGCGGCTGAAGACGGTTGTTTTTTAACACCGCAAGCTAACTAACAGAGCATACCGTCAGCTCTCCAGCTAGCGGTATCGACATTTTTGTGTAGTTGCCAGTTATGTCTCCTGCGGGTTCGTAACGTTATCTGAACTTCCTACCTTTTATCCCTCAGCAAACATCGCAAAAGAAAGACAAAACGGTGTTATTTTGATGCGTTGTTTTCACCATCCGAATTATAATGTTTACCCCGTTGCCTCATTTTGCGAGGCAACGTCTTTATACTATAAGTTAACGTTAACTTCATCTAAAATATTAACTTACTTCGTTTCAGTGTCTCACATGTTGAAACGATTCAAACGAAGATGATAAAATGCATTGCTCTCCAAAGTATGTCATTTAACTAGAGTTAGAGGCTTTCATAGATTAACGTTACAGATAATAAACGAGCTTAATGTATCTCTGTGGTAAATTTGCAAACCTGGCACCCCTGCCTGTTTTGTTGAGCCTAACGTTACCATGAACTGTCGAGGTGTCGCTGCCTCAGCACGTTGTCACTGCCCTCTGCTGATCGTGGAAAATAACATTTTAAAAGGTTTAGACTACAGAACCCGTTGACCTGGTGTGTACTGAAAACATGGATTATATTTAAACCTCTGGGATTGTAGGACAGCAGTGCTTTCCATTGGATTTACTAAAAGTTATTTCCATTTTTAATCTGTAAAGATTTTGTATCCAACATTTTGATAATTATCAGGAACATTTATATTATCAGTTGTCCTGTAAATTGTAGTTGTACAGAAATACTGTACATTTTACTCTGTTACATTTAAGGTAAGTTACAGATTACAAAACCTATGACCAGTTTATAAAATATAATGCATTGCTATTGATTAAATAACCCAACAGTAGGTCAGCATATAAAGAAGTGGAAATTAGCCCCACCTTGATGAGATACAACATTAACATGCTGCTTAACATTTAATCAATCAGCAGTAATAGAATAATACAAAATATACAATAATATAACTTTCAGAATGGGCCCATTTTGCGCAACAAGTACATTTACTTTTACTTTAAGTACATTTTGTGGCTAGTACTTATATAATTTTACTAAAGTAAAAATTTGAATGCACACTTTTACTTACAGAAAACCTTGCATTGCAGTATTGCTACTCATACCTAGATCCTAGATATTATAACTTAAAGATCGGAGTACTTCTTCCACCACTGTTCTATTAGTGTAAGCATATTAGTATATACAACTTGCAGCTTCAGTCCAAAATATTTGCCTTCATAAGTAACTGTTTTATTAGTATTTAAAGACACAAATGTGGCTAAGTGCCAATATGAGAGCAGAACTCAACAGCCCATGATGCATAGGGCAAGCTATCAGAAATCAGTGTATTTTTGCAGTAAACATAGGCTGGAGTAATGAATCTTTAAGTAATATATTATCATAAGCTTGTAGACATCCACTGTCTTTGTAAGTGACACATCTAACACAGACAATTTTTTGTCTTACATGGTTGTGGATAAACATGCACATGTATGTTGATAGTATTAAATACTATGTCATCATATAAGATTAAAAAAAGATTCAATTTGTTTTTATTGTTTCATTCCATTTAATAGAAAAAAGGTCTTGTTAATTATGCTATTTCCACTATTAGGATTTTAATCTGATTTTAAACAGTTGCTCTAGTCACTTCAATAAATCTCAGCTTTACCATCAGTGACTAATCTTTGCCAATAGGTGGAGGCAGATGCTCACTTAAACACTGCAGTCTAGGGGATACTTTTATAGATTTAAATCTGCTATAACTCAAATTCCTGAGAAAAGCAAAGTGGACCCAAGTCTAAGATGTGATGAGGACGAATGGCCAATTATAATTATAATTATAATTATAATTATACTTAACAAGAGCCAGCTTTTAACATTTCCAGATGGTTCCGGGCTCATCTGACTTGAGCAACTGTGTGTTGCTGTTGTGTCTTCTTTGTAATTCAGGTAAAATTACAATTAAAGTTATATTTTCAAATTAACATGTTTGCATTCCAAACCCGGTGACCCGATACTTTTAATTGCTATTTTACTATCAGACCTAATGGTAAAAAAAAAATGAAAAGAAAAGACTGCTATAGATCTAACATAATGATGCTGCCTGGCTAATACCTCCTCTGTGTGCAGCGGATCATTCAGTGTAATTTCTAATTAACACATTGCTATTTACTCTGTTGGATCATTAGGCCTCATCACAAAAGGATAATCCAGTCAAATTGAGAGTTTATGCTTCCCTTCCACCTTCCACCATGGTGCTGTTTGCTAATGAGTCATGTTGCAATTATCTAACAAATTAAGACAAATGTTGTCTGTTTAGCCAAGATAAATGTATTGAGCCAGACTATAGCATCAACACATATAACAGAGAAAGAAATTTATCCTAGATATTTCTAGTGAATTTGTTTTACATTTATACCCAAAATTTAATGTCAAATACTAAGAATAACATTGTAATTTTGACATACTTTTTAGTTTGTCTACATTTTTATTTTATTTATTTAATTTTAAGTTAAACCTGAAATTGCATGTGAAAATGCAAAATATGATAAATGGAGATTTTTTTTAGCAAAAATCCTACCAGAATAACTTATTATTGAACTAGAGAAAGCCAGTGCCACATAGTTTTAGTGACATAGCACTATCGTAATGTGTGTGTTGCATTGTTTGTCACAGTAAACCTCTCTCTTCAGTACACAATAAAGTGTTAGTGCGCAGCTATTGTTGTGGCATTGTCTGATGCAGGATTATCTAATTCCTTATTTTAAAAGTAATACAAGAACTCCAGATCTCAACCAGATGCTGTAGCAGACCATTCCAACATTCACCCCTCCTTTCATGATGAAAGGAGGGGTGAACATTGGGATCAGAGATGGAAGCTGTAACCTATTTGTGAAGCAGAATCATTAGGAAGGATCTCCAACCAATTTCCATAAGTGGGGTAGCGGAAAGTATTTAGGCTGCTCGAAGTATATCACTAATGAGAAAAGACAAAAAGGATTCATGTGCATGTTTTATGCAATCTCTTTCTGGGTGTAGATGAATAATTATTTATGATTGCAAAGCCTAAAAGGGAAGCAAAAAGATAGCAACTGCAAAGAGACTGGTAAAAAATTTAAAGAGGAAGTTAAATGAATATTTAAGGGAAGATGAAATATTTAATGGAAACAAATGTGCAAAACATTTAAAACGGCATGATAAATAGTAGTGAGTGCTATTAAAGTGACCCTTGGAATTTGTGCTATTTGCTGCAGTAGGTCTCATTCAGACTTGTAATGGTGTGAACTGAAGATTCCGGCAAATGTTTTCAACATGCAATGTCATTATATGAGGACATTGTGTCTGTAACCCATGGGTTAACCTAATAGCTGAGAAATATTAGCCTTTGATTCAGTGTAGTTTGTATTGATGCCACAAGGCAGAAACAATTCATGTTTTATTGACCTTCTTGAAGTTGAGGTTAGGGTTCTAAAAAAGCACATAATGACATAAATTTTGAATATCTTTGCAGTTAATTTCTCAAGAGACAATCTGCATTAGGGTTTTGCACAACATCAATGTGTCAGTCTGATGCTCTACAGTACATTTTGTACATTTTCAACTACCAACATCAAAAGGAAAAAAAAAATCTGGAGTATGTACCAGCACAGTTCATTTGTTTTCCAAATGCGAAAATAATTAAATCAGCAAACAAATAATTATTCAAGTCAATGAGAACAATTATCTCAAAGACGCCTCTGAGACTTGGATGTGCATACTGAATTGATTAATTATCCTGCTAAAGATAATTGAGTTAGATCTTTGACTGCTTCCTCTCAATGTACTCTTGCCTCCATTTTGATCTCAACAAGATTATCATCTCCACCATCATTTATAACATGTGGTCATTGTGAACACTTCTCTGTGTGTTCACAAAAATTGCCATGGTGTAATGACATGTAGGACTTTTAAAGAGCTGCATTTTAATTCACCAGTCATCTTACTCTGCAGTACACGACATTATTCTTGGATCATAAGGAAAAATCTAAAAATGACCATGACTGGAAATCAAGGGCTTCTCATCTCTTACTTAAACTTCACGAACCTTAGGTTTTACAATATATTATAATCTGTATAAAATGTCCTATTAAATATATTAAAAATATAGCAGTGTTCAGACCTGTGTTCGTATGTCCAACTCAACTTTGTCAGCGACACTGTGTCATGCCCTTACTAACCCATGGGAAGACTATTACTTACTTCTGAGGCAGACAGAGATCATTACCTCTGTGAATGATGGCGAGGTAGCCCGAGCCCAACAGCTTTATTTCCCAGCTCAACCTGGCGGACGCACGCCATCACATCCTGTTAACAATTCCATGGCTCCACCATAAAGATAAGCTCCCTCAATCAGCTCCGTCTGTCTCCATCGCCACTGGAGGGCCATCAGTTATCACTTGCTGGGATGGGAGCCCTCCACATTCACTTGTGATTGACACCATTTAGATGATGCAGTCACACTCACTGGGCTGTTTATTTCCTCTGCAGACCAGTATGCTGTTTTCTGATTAAGGGAGTTCATGAAACATTTTTTTTTGATATCGACATATTTAACTACAATCAGTCTTTTCACCCTGTGCAAATATTGGTCCATTCCATGTGGAATCTTTCAAATGCTGAGATGAATTAAGTCAGAGGCTTTGACATTTTAATCAGAGTGAACATAAGAGCCAATTGTCAATGGCAAAACCACACGAAGGTCATTCCAATTGTTAAGGATCTGCCATAGCATTTAATCATTACATCCTAATGATTCGTTTACATGTGAGATCAGGTTGATATTTTATGTATAAGCACATGTTCTGTTCAAGGCCTTTTATTCTATTAACCTGTCCTGTCTTTGTTAGATCCTTTCTAAGATAATTCCCAAATGGCTTAGCCTTTGATAAATATGCTTTTAGTTCTATCTAATTAATGCATTCCGCTGTGATTTTCTTCACTTGTCACCCACTCTTTAACCTCATAGCGGAGGAACAGACTTTTCTTACTCAAATTAAAGGTCCTCTGAGACACGGTACATGTGTGAGCTAATGCTGTAGTGCGCTGTACAAGCTGATATCTTATCTTGAGGACCTTGTTGAAATGTTTTGAGTAGAAATGAAATATATGACCTCACTATTATGGAGAGTGGATATATTCCAAGAAAACATGTTTTAGCTTATTGTGTCTGTTTCTTAACTGATCATTCTGACTTTATTTGTTTGATTGGTCCATTAATACAGAGTTTTTAAAGTAGGGATATGGTTGTGTTAAAAACATTTTAAGGATGCAGGTATTTGCTTTTGCGGTTTACATAGTGGTTCAAGTGAAATAT